GTGCTGCCGTCGCCGCGACGAGTTGGAAAAATCGACCCGGAGGCGAAAAAAATTAATGTCGCTTTTCGCGCCGCGAAATTACGTCGGCGGTTTGCAATGTATCATTGACAAGTTATTGGTTCGAAAAATATTATTGACGCGCGAATAAATCGCGCGTTAAATTCACGTCTGGTGTGAAAGGGCCTTTAGTTTACATTCACGTCAGAGGTAACCATCGGTGAGAAGATCCGATGGTTGAAAAGTCCAGGTATTTTTAAACACTAACTGTTGTTAACGATGATTCCTAGAATCCCCTAAGACTCTTCTAACCACCCAGGTGATAAAACATTCAGTCCACTGATTAGCTAAATGTTTAGCCTTCTTGTTTCCCAACTTGTGACTGTCTACCTGGCAGGAAAATGGGAGTTTTCATTGTATTTACTGTCTCTGTGGATACCAGGGACATATTTAGAATAACGGCTTGTTCCCACAGGATCGTGTCGTCCTAACTGCTTGAGGTTTGAGATAGACGGTGCACAGGTTGGTTGGATCCCCCCTCGGGTTGCTCCGCTTCTGACCCAGTATCCAGAGGTGTTCGGTCCGCCGCACGATGGCGCAGTGTCCCTCTGTCACGGTTTGGACTCTTACGGGAAGAGATCTGATGCTGTGGACGCTGTCCTGCAAACCCTCAGGCTGGAGGGCTGCCTAACCTGCCTTAAAGGATGGAGAGATGAGGTGAAACACACCTGTTCTAGCTTGGGTGAATGCAAGTATTATGGCACTGCTACTTCCATATACACTACTGTTTAAAGGTTTGGGTTCATCTCTAATTTTCCATTTGTTGTTATTGTAATTCAACAGCCAAACACTTTGTTTGGAAAGACAGCAGTGTTGCAAAAGTTCCCACTGATGTGTTGCACTTGCACAGATGTGTAGCTGGGGTTAGTGAAACTATGTGCTTCTGTATTTTTCATGTCTTGCAGTACAGGAAGTCACTGGTCAAAATGAACCACTCCATTTCTAAGCCACTTACAGTTAATACTGGGGCTCCATGGGGCTGCTGTCTTTCTCTACTGTTACAGTCTTTGTACACAAATGACTGTACTGCTTATGAAGTCTCAGTTAATATTCAGATATGCCGGTGATCAGATGATTTGAGAAGAGGTTTCCAATCTTGTGATTAATCTGAAATGGGACAGTAACGTTCACAGAACTGTAAAGCTGCCTCATCAGAGATTGGATTGCTGGCAGACCCAGGAGTTACTCCTTGTTCTCCATAATACCATGTTGTCATCTTTCAGAAGTACAGTGTGATGCCCAAATTCTCTGACCCTCCTTTGATGTGGATGGAAAGAGCAGCCACAAGTAAGGTCTTGGCACACTGTGGAAGCTTTCATTAATAACTGTGTCGTGTGAGCTGACTGTGATGCTGCACCGCAGGCCTTTTCGGAGTGAAGCGTTATGGAGTCCATATCAATGGTTACACTGTGACTGAGAGCGGGGAGGTCAGAATGTGGCTGGTAAGCAGACATACCCGGGTCTACTGGACAATGTGGTGAGTGCAAATTGTAACCCACACCATCTAGATATGTAGCAGATACATTCAGATGTGAATGAAATGAATAGTTCCACACTTTAAATTCAGAGTGAAGCAAAGAGGCTGATGTGTTGTGTCTTTGAAGGCAGCAGGTGGTCTGGCTGCCGGTGTTGGCATCAAACACACACTGGTCAAAGAATGCCAAGAGGAAGCCTGTATCCCAGCAGCCATTGCAGAGAAGGCTGATCCTGTAAGCACAGTAAGGTGAGCTCGACACCACCACGTCCTCTGTGGATCCACCTATGTGAGTGGTGTCCTTCTGTTATGCAGGAACCTTGTTTTTATGAAGTAAAAAGACCCAAACCTAATGCCTTTTCAGGCTAGAGGGTCTAGGGAGACTTGAAACAAACTGACATCATAAGCAGCTCCAAACCACTCTTTGCATCCCCCCTCCCCCTCCCTCCTATTTCCTATTGATAACATGAACTACGGATATCTGGTTGGGACAAACTGTACAAAGTGCAGCCTCCAGTCTGAAGCTAGTTAGCTGGCTAACAGTAAATGTGACACAAAGTACTGACGTTACACAAAGCTCTAGTTATTCCCACATTAAAATCATGTTGATTCAACACAAAGGTCAAATCCTGACCATGCTAGGTGGCTTTAGATGCTAACACATCCAGAAGGAAGAACAGCACATCTGAATCCAATCTAACAGCAGAGTGTCATTGAGGGGGTGGGTGTGGGGGTATATCTGAGAGTCACCATGTCCCGTCCCACTGTCACTGGGTTTATCAGACACTGGAAAATCTGAGTTGATGCAAATTTAACAATTACGAATGACAAGTAAAAATCAAGGTTCACTGGATTCCATGATTAACTACCTCCATATATTTTCTAGCTACACCTATGAAGAAGAAGACGGGGTGTATGCTGAAAGTCAGTTTGTCTTTGATTTGGAACTTCCTTTGGAGTTCAAGCCCAGAGTGGGGGATGAAGAGGTGCAAGGTTTCTACCTCCTGCCCATAGATGAGGTCAGTATTGCCGATATACTCTGAATAATACTCCTTATCACAAACATATGAGGGGTTTTTTGTGGTCCCTGTCTTTCAGGTGAAGGAGCTCCTGGCCACTGATGACTTCAAACCTAACTCAGCCATGGTGGCCTTGGACTTCCTCATTAGACACTCCTTTATTGAGCCAGACACAGGTGCCGTCTACAGCATTTCCACTGTCAAACTCAATACTGAAAACTTCACCTCTCTTTTACTGGAGCCTTGTGTTGATTGTTGTGCTTTTCACTTCAGAGCCAAACTATCAGGACTTTGTGGCAGGACTCCATCAGATGTTATAGTGAAGCTGAGGATGAGGCCAAGACACCACGTTACACTGTTGTTTACCAGCAAACCACCTCACAGAAGCCAACTGAGAAGTCTTGTGAGCCCTGCTTTTGAACGTCCACCAAGAATGAGCCTGGTACCTGGAGGCTGAAACAGCGGAGGGTGGTTCACCTGACAACAGGGAGACTGAGTGCTAGATCTGCTTTGTCACTGACTCTTAACGAGGTGATCCTGTTGTCTGCAAAGTCCTTAGAGGCTGATTGTGCAGACAGACCTCATACTAGCATGTCCAGTTCACATTTCGGTGTACAGTTGGCACCTTGTACTGTAAACACAAGACTCGGCAACTCCTAGACATGGGTCATCAGATTAACTCAGACGTGTTTGCCGTGCACTACTGGGCATTTAGAAGACTGAACCGTGTTTGTGCTAATTACAATGACAGAGATGTGAGCTAGGCTCCACAGAGAGCAACTTGTGTACTGTTTATCACTGCACCATTCTTAAAAAATATATACAGCTGGGTTATAAATAAAGTGGGTGGTACATGCACAACAAGTGTGTTTTAGGCTGGATTTCATATACTCTGTATCGGCTTAGTGCAGCTCTTCATTAAGGCTATTTGACTGCCATAAGCCTTATTATTATTATTATTATTATGGAATCACCATTAAATCTAATGGAAACACTGACTTATTGTGTATTTTCTCTAAAATCCTGTCAGAGATTTGGAGCAGTAGGACCTCTACTAGAATTTAAAATAAAGTTCAGTGGACTTGACCAGAGTTTTTGTAATGACCGACCTACCTGAGAGCAGCGGATATAAGTGTGGTTTATAGAAATAACTGAAATGGTGTTAGGACACCAGGCACGTGAGGATTTGGTCATTCTCTGTGACAGTTTATTTCCTTTAGAATACATAAAAAAGACAGCTGGAGAAATGTGAGGATACGTTTGTATGCAAAAGAATATTCCTCTTAGAAATAACTGATCCTTTAGAAGTCCCTTGCACTTTGCATTTCACAATCTGACATTGCTTTTCAAAGTGTTTACCACACTGACCGTTCATTTTAAGTTGTGTGCAAATAATACAGTGTAAGCCAGTAGAATATCACATAAAGTTAAAATTACATACAACAGAGCATGAAGCAGAAGAAGAATAGCTGTAGACACTAAATGGAAACAAAACACTGGCACTAACACCCTGGCATACTGGTCAACTGTGAGCATCCAAATAAAAGCTGTGTCTGATAATGGTTGGGTTAAAATCACGGAGGCAAGTGGAATGTACTACAAAACGCCACGTGTGCTAAAATTCAGCATAATACACATTTCTACAGTACAACAGTCACATCATACTCTGAGCTTCACTTCTGTTTTCATTCACCAATTGTTCCCCGACTCTTACATGTTGCAGTTTTCTTTTATACCTGTTGAGGTGTCCCACCTCCTTCCTTCCTGTAAATTACCAAATTAAAAGCCTAATGTTAAAGAGAGGAGATTTGTCCTGTGAGCAGCTGGAACTAATGCCAAATCTGTATAATGATGGCATCTTATAATCAGGACTCAAAAACAGCCAAGTGAAGTGACTGAAAATGGTAGAAATGCACATTATACTGGCCAACATGTCAATGTCGAGGAAGTGTTGAGTTTACCCACGACAACATGGACACTTCTTAATAAAATATGATTACATCTACTTATAAAATGTTAATTAGAAATAAAGGCTTGTGTTTCATAGACTTTTTTTTTCACGATCAATTAATCTGCAGATTATTTCCTTGACTAATCGATTGTTTAGTACAGAGCTCTTTAAGTGCCAATTTCTTTATCTTGGGTGAACAAGTTATTTATCTGTGTGAGTTCAACCAGGCCTGTTCATTAAAACCACAGGGGTATGTTGTCTTTACATTAACACTTTGCCAATTTCCCAAACATGGAGGCTTTTATTGCTTTATTACAGCTGTTAATTTGCTGTTTTGTCAGGTGAGCTGGGGGGAGACTGCTCTCTTCTACTCCTTTGACCAGAAATGACCTAATTATTCATGTCTGCCTATTATTTTGATCCCACAAGATGATAACTTGTGTGCATTAGATAAAGAAAGGGCACCTTTCTGGACTTCAGGGGCTCACAGCTTCAAAATGATTATCAAAATAGAGGCCAATTAATTTTCTTTTGACTGACTTACTGGTCGACTAATCGCCACAGCTCTACATACTGTATAACCCCGTTTTACCTGAACGTCTGATCCTCTCGGTGGTGGAGGTGAATTAAGGCCCCACTACTATTTGAGAATTTACAGTAACTGTATAGAGGAACATATAGTTTTGTTAACCCATTGATACCCAACGGTATACAGTGTGTTTGACAACCACATCAACACAATCATACAGTTTATCCAACTAAGTTCAAGTGTTGCATTCATTAAGATGCTTGTATAAAACACTCATTACCATGTATTTATGCTCAAATGCAAATAATTCAGCTCGCAGTTTTTTAAATGAATGAACATTGTATCAAATACTACATGAGAGGAAACCCGGTCCAAATAAAGTTTGGATGGTCTACGTTTCCACAGGGGGAAAAAGGAGAAAAAACTTATTAAGCAACAGGGCAGAACTGAAAGACACGCACCGTCACACTGCAAGCCAATCCAAGCCTTTCAACAGTTTACTTTAAACAGCAGGCATTCAGCTGTGGGTGCACTAATGCCCCAATCTCCTCTGCGGCTGGTCTCAGCTACACGGCTAATGTTTAGGACAGAGGAGACCAACTACTGGCAGTACAGACACCACCGCACTGTTAAAGAAGTATGAGTGAGAGAAATTTCCCCATCTCTCCATGCTTTCTTAATTTCAGGTCTAATGAATCTCAACACAAGATTACAGTATTTTTATTTGAGAGCTAAAAGTTATAACCTTGGAGTTACATGTATATACTCCCTTTTCCATAACATTTGACCTTCCTTTTTTCCCCCTTTGGCCTGGTTTGACTTTTCTCCCTCATCCCCAACACCCCATTCAACTGTGCCCACCCTGGTCAAAAGCAGGCACAGAGGAGGGATGTTTATCTTGGCCTGGTTTGTTTCCCCTTTCCCTCCCACTCCTGTCTGACCTGACACTTTATAGCAGAAGGCAGCCGCCCTTCTTGCCTCGTCTCTTGGCCTGCAGTGCTGCCCTGGTGGCCATCTCAAACACCTCCCTCACACCGTCCTTCGTTTTGGCTGAGCACTCCAAGTAACCAAAGGCGTTGATCCGGTTAGCCATATCCCGCGCCTCGTCTGACTTCACCGGCTCCTGGTTGGGTTAACAAAGTCATAAATCAGCTCCTCTCATAAAGAACAGGACACACTCACTGTCCACTTTATTAGGTACAACTGTATGCACTTCAATGCAACACTTCTGTCCTAACATCTGTTTATGAAGCTCAAAATGCTTCTTTGGTGAGATTCTCATAAATGTAGTAAATATATATACAGTAAATGAATATAATGTAGTCCAGTACAACACCACCTTTAACTATGACCTCAATAATAAACATACAGCCAAATGTATGCATTTATGACAATTTCACCAAAAACTGAAACACGTTGAGCTTCATTCATACAGATGTTAAGGCGGAAGTGTCATATTGAAGTGCATACACTTGTACAGGTGTACCTAATAAAGTGGCCAGTGAGTGTATTTTCAAACACTGTAGAGTTTAGAGGGATTAGTATGAAACGGTGCGGACATCAGATCTGAATGAGCTCCATCCTAACCTGTTTCATCTTTGCTAACTCGCGACGTGTGTGCTCATCATTTCGCAGGTCTTTCTTGTTTCCCACAAGAATAATGGGCACGTTGGGACAGAAGTGCTTGACCTCAGGCGTCCACTTCTCTGGAATATTCTCTGCAGCAGGCACAAGGTGTACACATTCAGCATGGAGCAGGTGCAAACAGAATATCTGTCGAATACGACGAGGACAGAGGAAATCTCACCTAAACTGTCAGGGCTGTCGATGGAGAAACACATGAGGATGACGTCTGTGTCTGGATAGGAGAGAGGCCTCAGTCGGTCGTAGTCCTCCTGGCCTGCTGTGTCCCACAGAGCCAGCTCCACCTATGACAGGACAGAACAACAGGGCTAGTTTACTGCCAGGGACTTTACCGCATAAACTATCAGTCAAATGTCTTAGATCATTTGTTTTTCCTGTTGGTAATTCAGCAGCAAAAAACACTTGTGACACTTTTTCTACAATGGAAATTAAGCGTTGGGATCGACAGCACTGTTGCAAAAGTTCCCACAAATGTGTTGCACACAAACAACTGAGAAGGGACCATCTGCAGTGGAAAACCGAGTAGAGTTGAGCCGCTACCAAGCGGTGGAAAGGGGTTTTTACTGAGGCCTGTATGCTACTGGGAACTAAATCTGGTCCTGATCTGTGCCTGACCACTGTCTGACAACAGAGGTCCACAGAGAGCTCCTTTGACTTCATGTCTTGGTTTGTGTCCTGACATGTAGTGTGAACTGTGGGACCATATATATGTCAAAACTCTGTTCCGTCAGTTCATTCTGCCACAGGTGGATCCGAGTCGGGTTCTGGACACATCTCAAACAGGATGCACCTGAGCACAGTGTGAAGCCACAAAAAGAGGCTCTGAAGACTTTGTAAATGGGAGATTTCAGGTCTTGATTTTTAATAAATGTGCAAAAATGTCTAAAAGCATGTTATTGCTTTGTCACTTTGGGTTATTGAGTGTAGACTGATGGACAAACTTGACAATTTTATTCAATTAAAATTAAATCTACATCCCATTAAAATGTGTAAAGTGATGGGATCTGGGTACTTTCTGAAGCTGCTATAGTTTGCCCATCACATTTTTCAACTGTAAAATGTAAAAGGAAAACACGGTTTATTCAGTGTCCGTCAGGCTATATTCTGAAATACACCCTTAAACGACACACTCCATGCTACGTTAGCGTGCTACTGTAAACATATTACCTGTTTACCATCCACCTCAATATCTGCCACATAGTTTTCAAACACAGTGGGCACGTAGACCTCAGGGAACTGATCCTTGCTGAACACGATGAGGAGGCAGGTCTTTCCACAAGCACCATCACCAACTATCACCAGTTTCTTTCTGATTGCAGCCATCTGAAAGGATGAAACAGAATAAAGACATTTATCAGCATACCACATCTGGGATGTTTCCAGGCAGGTCAGGGATTTAACTACGTTAAGCTACTTTGTGGGGAGCCCCAGTGTAGAAACAGATTTAAAAAGAGCCTTTACTCAAATGCAATAAGGACATTAAATGCTAAATAGGCAACAAGGAATACAGGCCCATTATGCATTGAGGGGTTATTGTAACATTGTATGTGTATATGTTGTGTGGGTGTTTAGCTTGTTTATTTGTTTATTTATTGATAGTTAATAAGGTTTATGTGATTGGATGGGTGAGGCACTGTTAGGATGGCTTTTAAATTTCGTTGTACGTGTTGCAATGACTAATAAAGTTTTAACAGTTTTTAACATTATGGGAAACAAAAACAAACGGATCCATGAAATCTGAAATTGCTCAGCAGGGAGGGAAAATATGTTCATGGGTTCAAACTGAAAATAACTTTACTATGTTTTGGCAGAGTTTAACTGATGTTTCAGAGAAATTCCTCCCTCAAACTATGAACACATGCTCATTAATCACATGTTCCTAAAATCTTGTTTAGTACAGCTGCAATGACTTATCACAGTTTAATTTTAGAAAGGTTAAGCAACCACTCCATGTCAACTATGAGGTCCAAGCTCTGGTCTTTGGCATCAGTGGTGATGCTGTTTCCCATCTTCCCAGGTGCTGTGATCCACCGGTGTCCCCAGTTGAACTGGGTATTCACAACAAAACTCCCAGCGTAGACACAATGTTCTGGGCTGCGTTGGTGTAAGCGTGTTGCTAAAATTACCAGTGAAATGATGAAACGACAGTTAAGGATCCAGAGTTTGTAGGTTGGTCAAACACCCACATGTTGCACAACAGTTTATAATACTAAAAGAGATTAATTTAATAACTCTGAAATGTTATTATGGTCTGTTTTGGCAACCATACACTGTTTTTGCACAGTACATAGCACTGAGTACACCCCTGTGCACTATCACTAAAAGGTTAAATGATTCAAAGTTGTACCTTCTTACAATAACTGTGAGATTTTAAAGCTGCAGTGTCAGTATTAGATCTTATGGTAATTAAAACCAAAGACGTTAAATGGACAGGCTCCAGTGTACAACCTGATCAGTGCAACAAAAGTGATTAACACCTGTGATTTCCAATTAAAGCTAATGACTGGATGAAAACATGACTCCCAGGCTGAAGAAGCTTGTTTCCAACATGACAATGATCGTGAGCACATACAAAAATCACACCAGTTTTTTGAAAACATAAGTGAAAACTATGACCTGGCCAAGTGTGTGCCCCGACTTGAATCCAAAATGACACCTCTGGAGTACTTTACAGTTAAAGTTAAAAAAAACCCAAACAACTCCCTCCAGTAAAGATCAGCTGAATAAATGGCAGAACATCTGTCCACATATTCTGATTTGGCAACAAATCGCAGTGTAACTTAACTAATAGAACCACTTCTAGTCCTTTTATCAAACGTGACCCATAACAACATGGACATCAAAGATAAGAAACTACAATATTATTTATAACACTGATGTGATGTTTCTGTAGAGAAAACAAGGTCTAACAATTAAAGAGCCGAAGATATTTACACCACTGATTTAACTGTAAATGAGAATATAATTCCAAGACATCACCATTTACTGAAGCTTCAAAATCGTAAATAAATAAACAGTAAAAGCCAGTACACACAGATAGGGATTTTACTGGATGGATGTTCTACCGCTCACACCCAGATTAACGTCACATCATATGACGCTGCAGCAAGTTTAGAGATTTAACATACATTAACATTGTATATGCAACGGTTACAGTTATCATGGCACTAATAGACTGTGAGCCTCTCAGGTACTCGGCCTAACGTACAGTGCTGTGAGAATTTTCCAAGTTTGCGTTGCATTTCAACTTCACTTCCTCGCTGCTACTAACCTCTGATGAAAAGGGTTGTTGTATCTTTTAACTTACCTTCTGGCGAACTGCTTCACGATACACATAACTTGCTGCCCTAAACTTGCGTTATTTGTCATTAATGTTATCCTGCTTCACGATACACATAACTTGCGTTATTTGTCATTAATGTTATTTCCTGGCCTGTGTTTGCCACTGAATCAGTGGTGTGTCGGCTAACTTCTAGCTAGCAGCAGTTTCCATTACATCTAAGCTAACTATTAGCTTGCTAACTTTGCTTAGTTTTTCGAAGCAGCTGGCCTCTTGTCAAGTTGGACACATAACATTTTGGGACCACATAATATTACTTCACTCTAGAAGATACACTCACATACAATGTGACTAAACAGAGCGATTCTGAACTCTCAGTTAAATAGTATTTTACCGTTTTATTGAAGATACTCGCCTTTCTTTAGTTTTCCTGTCGAAACTAACAGCCCCGCCTCCGGCGGTGCCACGAAGATAGCGCCCACCCCACACTACACACTCCCAGCCAATGGGACACGGTAAAATTATGAGTGAAGGGTAACTTGGCCAATAAATATACACATATATAAAAACAATTTTGTCCCGGTATAGGCCTCACAGGGATGTTTCGCTTCCAGTTTGTACAGAGACCTTGTTATCAGCTGTATAAAACCAGGCACTTAATGAACATATAATTAACAGCGTTTATTCCTAAAAAAAACAAGACTGCACTTCAAGTTAACATTCAAATTAATGGATCTTCATTGCATGTGAAATTATAAAACTTTGAATTGAAGTAATAATATTTACTGTCAGATTACAACATATTTAGAAATCATCATTAACGGTTTTTTTCTAAATTTTAACCCCATTATAGAAAAAGAAAGGAAGAGTAAATATTCAATGGTTATAAAGACATCTTGCAAGTGACCAATAGTAAATAAAAACTGTAAAAACTAAAGCAGCAGAGGCTGAAAAATTGAGACTGAAGTTCTTGGTTTATGTCATGCTGCAAAGATAGCCTTCAGGATCCTGCACTTTCTATAACCTTTAAAAGCCATGACCCTGGTTTGACATGCAGGCTTTCTAATAAAACATCTCTATAAATCCAAGCTGACGAAGGAAGCAGCATTCAGTCAGGATCTTTTCCAGTGAGGTTGTTATGTTTGTTTATGTTGTGCTTGTGCTGTCATCAAAACAAAACTGACTTCATAAACCACTGATTGTCATATTTTTAATACAAAGTCATAAGATTGATGTCAGTCATCTTAAGTGCCAAATTTAGTAGTGAATGATCTGGTAAAATCTGGGGTACTTTTTATAGAAAGATGGCAAACCTAAGGGGTTAATTGTGAATGCATAGTTGTTTTTTGTTTTTTTTTACCAAAATGTTTGTAAATAATTATATGATGCACATGAAGCGACATAGTTAACAAGAACAAACAATGGAATTTATCTCTGGTTTGTGTTAGTGACATCTGCTAAACACCTTCCTAGCTAATCCTGAAAATGTTCAGTTAAAAAAAAAGAAAAATTATCAAGCAAAAGCTGCAAAAATGTCTTTATTCTAAAGTGATGGAGGTTTTTACATGGCTATACCAAAGGCTGTGCGGAAGCTGCCTGGGAAGTTCGGCACAGGGCAAAAAATACCATCATACATGGGCATGATTTTACTTCCCCTTTGTAACTTCCCCTTGGTAAATAAAAGTGGTTTATTTCATTGTTTTTTTTTTCCTTAGTAGCAGAAAGGCGCTAGTCAGTTGGTCTGTCAAGTAGTCAGATTAGTTCTTTGGTCCAGACTGTAATATCTCAGCGACTACTAGATAGATTGCTGTGAAATTCAGAGGACGACTCCTACTGATCTTGGTCATCATTTTGACTTTTCCAACAGGCCACATTTTGTGAAATATATCAACTGATGCATTGACACAATACTTTAAGGCTGAGAACCAACTGCTTTTGTAAAGAGACACCTGTATTATTTTGCAAATGTAGGCTACATATTGTTAACTGTGGCACATAGCTGCTCTTTGGCACTTTTCCCCAAGAGGTCAGAGCTAAACTTCATAGAGCCACTAGTAACAACACTGGTCTACAGACTATATATTGTTTTCATACTTTCATACTCAATACACCAAATTATGCAGTGTTTATTTAAACTGTCCTAAATGAAAAATTATGGTTCAGAACTGTTCTCCATGAGACCATGTTATATGCTGCCATGGACATGCTATGAGATAATGGGTCCCTTGTTCACAGACATGTATAAAGCCTCCACCCTCCTACAATGGAGCATCTCTGTAGTCAGTTTGTGTTTCTTTGCAGTATATTTGTGACTCTGTGTGGTTTGTTTTGTGTCTCTTTGTTGCCAATCTGCATTTATCTGTAGTCATTCTGTGTATTTTGTTGTCCTTTTTATAATTGTTTTGAGTCTTTAGTGATTTTACATCTCTTTGAAATCACTCTGTGTCTTTTTGATGTAATTTTGTGTTTTTGTAGTAGTTTTATGTCTCTTTGTGGTTGTTACTCGTATGACTTTCCAACAGGAACTGTTAACACTGTGTGGCTTCAAACTGAGGCTCTTCATCAGGGGCCCCTGAGCCTGTGCCCAGTGAGCCTGTTCAATAATCCATTCATGAGTGCTGCACACCCCATGTTTTACACATTATACAGTTTTTGTTTAATGTTAAAGAGCATCTGTTCTATGTCAAAGCATACATGTGCTTTACCCTCACATATAATGTATGCATTAGTAGTCAGCGGGCTAGGAGCAGTCTGTGTCTACTTTACACTGGTCTTTCTGCTCTTCTTTAGTGGCATGTTGACTAAATAACATATTTACTTTCGTTTTTTGTGAGGCTGGGATTAATGATCCACTCTTGTTTTGACAATCCATGCGTACATATTCTCATATTTATCATAGTATGGCGATCATGTGACCACGCAACAGGAAGTTGACTTGTATGAGCCAATAAGGGACGAGCTGATGAACACGATGTTTGCCATTGGCTGTTTCAAAGGGCTAGTACTTCAATTTAAACGCTAACTGGAGTTCACGCGGTGTAAGCGGTTTAGTCTGTGCGGATCCGGTAAGTTTTTATTTATTTATTTTTTATTGTATAAAACAAAATCTTTTTTTATATCAGGTTTCTTTTTTTGTTCAAACATCTAACAGTAATACAGCATGAATGCAGTAAGATTTAACGTGCTGGTTAGGTACCGTCAGATGATAACGCATCAGGACTCAAGTTAACGTTAACTAAGTTTGCCACTTGTTTTCTTGTTAACATTATTGTACAGTTCATGTGAAGACGATGCCACTTAATTACACTACCACAGCAGTTTACATTTTCCTATCGGCAAAGTGCGTGTTCTTTGTGAAGCTTGTCCAGTTCGAGTATGTTAACTTAGTAGTGTTAGAGCCACTCCTTTTCCATCCACACAGCTCGTAGAGATAACCAACTTTAACAAAGCGTTAGCCTTAGCTTAGCTGAGGCAGATGCATTTCTGTCTTGGTTGGTTGAATAACTTCAGATTTTGCCATGATGCGTTAACGTTGGGCTTATCGGTTGCTTCTTCAGGGGAGCTGTCGAATAACACGGTGAGAGACCGACATTATGGCCGAAGGCTACTCCGCCGGTGAGACCTCGGATCGTTACGAGTTCGATGCCCCGTCTCACGTCGTCGACTTCAAAGAGCTGGAACAAGCTGAAAGCGACGACAAATGGTTTGGTAAGTCTCCTTTCTGCGGTTCATTTAGGTTCTTATCTAGTTACCGAAGAGCTGTTTGTTTGCTGCTGCTTCCTCGAACAGCTCCACACTAACGTTAGTTTATATCGTATGGTTCATTTTGTTTGGCTCAGTTTAATGAACCTCTTGGGCCACTCGTGTTACACTGAACATAAGTTGATGCTGGTGGGTAAAACAACAAACGTGTTCCACTTGGTGAGGCAGATGTTGGGTTTTTCAGTGCTGCTGTCTCTACATTAGTGTTTCTGTCCAGGCCCTTGCATGTCTACATTTGTTAACCCAGTGGAACTGAGTGGTTTTTGGAGTGGCCTGTAGGAAGCGTCCCAGTAGACAGCTTGGGTTGGGGGAGACCGTTGGGAAAAGGAGTCCAATTTCTTGTGTGTGTTAACATGTAAATAGCCTACATGTACAGTTTGGACCCTTGAATTATGGGTTCAGATGTATAGAAACTAAATAAAACACTTTTTTTTTCTTTGATCATCAGTTCACTTAGACAGTGCATCAAACTTTTAATAATAATGATAAACTTTATTTATATAGTGCTCTACAGCTCGCAAGAGCGCCAGAGTGCTGTACAATCAAAAACGCAGAACACAAAGCAATACTAAAGCCTGCTTAAAACTTTTCATACACTTTCCTTTAATTCTTTGAATACATCTAAAAGGAGTCCATATTAACCTGATCTTTGGCTCTCTACGTGCAGAACAACAGGTCGAGGGGGTGCACACTCAGCTTTCTACACCTTCCAGACCTGACTGGCCTTTTGCAAGAAACGATGTGCCCAACCTGCCTAGAGCTGTTGTAACTCCTCAGGTTAAGACAGATGTGGACGCGGGTTAGTCTACTTTGTGTTATTGCTAACTATGGATGTGCTGCTTGTATTCTGAAATAATTGACAGTGCAGTATTCAAGCCACTTTTTGCATACTTGGATGTTTTAAATAAAAATACCATTTGCCAACCAAATTACAGTCAGAATCTCATAATTGTGAAAATGTTTTTAGACGGTTCTGCAAAATGTTTACATTTCAAAGCAAATTGCTACCTTTCAAAACTGATCAGACCTTTTGCTGTGTTTGAGTCACCATGTAGTTTTGAAAGGTGATTCTGAAAAGTAGCTTGTTCTTTAGTCTGTCATCCCCTAAGTTGTCTGACCTTGGTTAATAATGTGAACCCCTGTGGACTGATCCATATTTCAGGGCCTGGTACGTCCACATCTCCACCAAGGAACATTGTCACATCTTGGGGTCCTGATTCCCAAAGGACAAGGACGACTGCTCCAAATCAACCCCCTGCCCAACCATGCAGGTACCAATGGGGCTATACGACCTATCAAATCCAGTCTTAGTGTTCATCAGTGACTGCTGGATTTGACAGAACTGTTGATTAGCAGAGTAACTGACTGCATCAAGTGGAACATTTACAATAAACATTTCACTGCTAATATGTTCCCCAGTTGTAATTGTTTCCCTTAGTGGCCCCCAGTGGTTAGAACAAGATTAGCCCCAGCTCTGACTTCCAGGTATTGCATGAGAGTCACAGCTGAGCTGCCGTGAATGTTCAAAATTGAAACTTGCTGAAAATTTTAGAACATTCACCAGGCTGACTGACAGAAGTGTACCACAAAAAAATTAATGTAGGCTCATCAGTGATGTTTATATGGTCTTTATTAGGTTCCCTGTCTTGAATGGGGGACATAAAACCAGAAAACTCTGACATCAGGAGCCTGATCAGCACATGGATATGCAACAGGCGATCTGCCTGATTTAAGCAGCTGTCTGTGGCAATTGCACTTCAAATGTGCCAAAGGGGAAAACATAGAGGGTCCAGGAGTGATGTGTGTATCTCGGCATCGATGTGGATGACACATTGATGCCGTCTGTCCATGTTTGAGCATGAGCAGTTTGTTTTGCAGTCGTACCCAGTGTGAACTATGGATTTAAAAAAAAAAAAAAAAAGGTTGCTCCTTTAAATGAATTTGGTTGCAAAGTGCAAGTGATCGCTCAGTCTGCCCTGAGTGGAGTTTGCAAGTTTGAGGGAGGATCTTAAAGGTGTTTTGTGGGAAATGTAGGATCACAATGTTAACTTGTGCGTCTCACAGTACAATACAGTTTTACGATTTAAATATGCATCTTTTGTTGTTGTTGTTGTTGTAGGGTTTCAAAACGTAGTTTTACGATTTAAATATGCATCTGTTGTTGTTGTAGGGTTTCAAAACGTAAAGAGGCTGCGCGCTGTTTGTCTGCAACGTCTGCTGCACCACCACCAAAGAGAAACAAAGCGTAAGTGTCGTAACATCTTGTTTCTTGATGGCAGCGAATCATAAAAACTGCTCAGTAGGCCAATACATGTGGGTTTTTAATAAAGATCTCATGCACACACAAAGGAAAGAAAAATTGTCCAGGCCATCGCTTCATATGGTTTCCCCTCAAAGTTATTAATTGGAGCCGATTTATTCTAGGAACCCTGCTGCCAGACCACAAAGGAGGTCCAGTGGTGTCCGCCGCAGGAGTGCGCAGCTCCATGCCAGAACCAGTCTCCGCAGGAGCGGGCGGCAGAATTCCAAAACTGCAGCAGCTTCCACACCTGCAAACACAGGGTGAGTCTACTACTGGTGTTTCCAGTCTGTCATCCTCCTGGAGTTGGGGAGGGGAAAGTATCTGGTTAATCAGACAAACTTCTTTTTGGGTTTATGGAGTCATCCTGAAGGGGCTGACTACTGTGGGCTGCAGCGTTAACACTGGTCATTCAGGTTATTGTCCTGCAACTTGTCATCTGAGCACACTGGGGCTTGTTTCTAGCTGTACTGAATGGCCACACAGAATGAAAGACTTGCTGTCACAGGTAGGGCCACAAATGGTGAATAGATGAGCTGGAGAAGGAAGTACAAAGCAGTGGGTCTACATGTTAACACATGTAGAAGGCAACATATCTAGGCAAACTTGGAAGTACAAACCAGAGTGCTTGGTTTGAAGCAGTGGGTCCACATGCTAACACGTGTAGAAGGCAACATATCTAGGCAAACTTACAAAGATGAAATGTACAGGTTTGGTTGTGAGTAGCTTGAAATGATGCTGAGATGCAACAGTAGATTAAAGCTGTTCTTGCTATGACTTTTCAGACCATGTAGCTCTGAAGAACTGGAGCTGCAACGTATCCGTGACCTCCAGAAGGAAGTGGCGCTACATCGCAGGAAGAATGAGGCCAGTTACAGAGCTGCTCTTGCTGGCAGTGAGTGGATTTTACTGACTTAATTTGAAGTTTCAACTGATAGTAAATGTACTTGATCACTTCTTTTATATACTGGCTAACAGATGTTATGGTTTAGGTGGTCCTTTTCTTTAAAGGATAATCTCACTTATTTCAGATCCACCACCAAAGAAACCCGTTCTGTCCATGACTGTGCCTAAAGAGTTTCACTTTAGCACAGAAACCCGTGTTAAGGCAGCTGCTCCATCCAGCACAGCCCACAAGGAGGTGGATTTTATCTCTCAGCTTCGCAAACCCTCTTCACCAGTAAGTACTACATATACACAAACACCATGAAGTCATGCTGCATTAAATGGTCAAACGCAGCGAGCGGAGAGACATCTAAATGTATATATGACCGTTTCATGCACTTGAAACCTACACTCACTCTCCCCACCCCCAGGCAAAGACTGTGAAAGGTGCTACAGTGCCCAAACCTTTTAATTTGTCAAGCAACAAAAGAAAGGTGGAGCAGCCAGAGGCCTATATACCAATGGCTCAGAAGATAGAGCACTTCCAGAAACGAACTCCTGAGCGATACCATCTGCGCAGTCGTCAGAATCAAGAGAGAGGTGTGTAGGTTCTTCGCTACCAGATTGAACTGGTTTTCTGCCCACTGGTGGTTTGGGTGTATAACTGTCCCTGGATTTGTAATTGGTTTTCGTCAGGTCCATCTCCAGTGAAGGGTGAGCACCTGAAGCTCACTCAGCCTCACACCCCACACCTGATGACCCGCCAGAGGGCCAGGCCTACCACTGTGAAGAGCACTGCTGAACTGGAGGCTGAAGAGGCGGACAAACTTCAGAAGTAAGGCCCAGGACTTTACATCTGCTTGACTGTCCTCAGGGGTTTTGTACTGCTGTAGCAGGGTGGGTGAATCAGTTTTTTGATCTCTTCAGATAACTTGCCCAGTACATTTCTGCTGGGGAAGACTGTCTGCCGTCATTCATAAGGAACTGCTGATGACAGACAGGTGTTCTGACAGCAAATTGTGGAAGACTTCATTTATAGCAGCTGCTAAGAAAACTTGGATGGATATAGGCTAATTATAGAGAGGGAACATGGATGGGAAGGAAACTTTCAAATATTTAAATCTGGATGTGATTGGCCTTAGTTTAAAGACAGAATTATACAAATGAAAAGTGAATAAATTTATCAACATCACTTCCATCTTGGCATTGTCCCCACACCAAACCTCCTTGAAACACTGGGATTAAACCGCGGGTTTGAGTCCTCACTTCAGGGTTAGCCCAAATGGGGTTTTAACTGGAGAGCAAGACAAACCTGCTTGATTTGTTACATGGCTAATACCTGGGTGAGTGGACAGGTGTTGACTCATGCCAGACATACCTGACCATACATCAGATTTTCATGAAGTTTGCCATTGGGGGTCCAAGATGCTGAAATTAACAAGATTGGAATTGATTGGTTGTGTTCATCCTTTTGCCGGGATTTTACTCAAACATAAAATTTCCTTGTTTTAATCACAGGTTTAAATTTAAGGCCCTGGAGCTGAACAAGAAAATCCTGCAGAGTGTAGATAGCTTAAAGAAGCCAGCAGTCAAGGAACCCACTGTACCTGAAGGCTTCGAGCTGCAGATTGAGAAGAGGCTCCAGGAGAGAGCAGCCACCAAGAAGCCTCAGGAAGGTGAGGAGAAGCCTCCCACCTTCAAATCCCAGCCTCTGCCCAAAAATATCCTGGAGGGAGTAGTGGTGAGTTTAAGTCCTGTTGCCAACAGTTCAGGCTCAAATACAAGGGGATCCACAAAGGCTTGTTTTTGATGGTTGTGTATATGAACGCATGTCAATAGGGACTGCCAGAGAAGAAGGTTGTGTATCCAACTGTGCCAGAGTCTCCAGCTTTTGCCCTCAAGAATAGGATTCGTATGGACCGCAAGGTTGAGGAGGTAAGGACACATTTGGTTTCCTAATGTCACTTCTGCTCTGCCTGTTTTCACCTTCACATTGACAGTTTTTCAACTTGAGTAAGCACTGCTCCATAACTTCTGTTTCTAGGTAAAACAGCCTTTGCCAGTTAAGGCCCACCATGTGCCTCACTTTGGCCTCCCCTTCCAGCCCCAGCTCCCACAGAACCACCATGTGGAGGTGTGTCCCTTCTCCTTCGAAGAGAGGGAACGGGAGAGGAGGGCACTAAAGGAGAAGAGGCTGGAGGAGATGCGAAATGAAGAGGTGGAGTTGCACTTCCAGAACACCCCCCTCCCTTTTTTGGGCCCTCACAAACACCGGCATTAATTGGTTGTCTCTTTGACCCATTCAGGTGCCACAGTTCAAGGCCCAGCTACTGCCAAACTTTGACAGCGTGGTTCTGCCTGAGAAGAAGAAGCTGGAGCCCACTAAGCCTGAGCCTTTTAAGCTGCTCATAGATGAACGAGGAGCTATGAAGGGCAGTCGCTGGGAACAGATGGTACAACAGCATTTGCAGCTACATGCCAAGAAACAGGTTTTGTTCACAACAGTGCCCTGACCGCTGTCTCCTGTAGGTGAAGGAAGAGCAGAAACAGCAGGAGGAAGCGGCACTCTTCAAAGCCAGGCCCAACACAGTGACTTTTAAAGAACCTTTCCAGCCCAAAAAGGAGAGCAGAGCTGCTGTGGGTAAGACAATGAGCATGTAGCACTGCACCGTCACTGGATACATCCCGAGTCTGATATGCATCCATGTTTCCTTGACTTGTCTTTTCCTTGCATCCCACCAACGTGAGATGGGAGGGAAAAAGGCAACAAGAGGAATCAATGAAACGGGTTTTTAGAGAGATGAAGTGTCCAAACACCAACTGACTTCCAATAAAAGGACATGCGAGTCCGTAAAACTCATGCAGCTGCGCCCGCCACCTCAGAACAGTCACAGTACGTCATAACTAAAATCATGATGATGCGTTAGTCTGAGATTTACAGTACAACAGTGGGAACATCGTTACTTCATCATTCAACAAAATTTATAACTAGTAAATGAAGCCAGTGTGTGCACACTGTTGTGCATGATCAATTCACAACCGTCCATGTCAACTTGAAGGATGCTTCAGCCTTTTGCTTTGTGGCTGAAGCATCCTTCCTTTGAAAGCTCACTGACTTCTTGATGCCTTCACTAAAACCTCTCCTGGCATGCTTGAGAAGGCACTAATTCTTCTGCAGTTGTGGAGGCGTTTGAGCTGTCGACGGAGCGGCGGGCCCGGGAGCGGCAGGAGTTTGCACAGCTGGTCACTGAGAAGGAGACTCTCAGGGCGCAGATGGAGGAGCAGCAGAGACAGGAGGAGGAGAAGAGGGAGAAGGATGAGATCACCAGGCTGCGGCAAGAACAGGTCAGTGCAACAATTTGGAAGATTGACGGGCTTTACTGGGGCAGGGTATTCCCAGTGGTCGAACCCACTGAGGATCAACGGCTCAGATTTTAGTACAGAGGAGACTGGTGCTCGACTCTAGTCCAGTTTTCTGACAAATGGCATTGATTTCATTTATTTTCCACAACTAACCCAAAGTTCTCTCTCATTGCTACATCTGTTAGAGTAAGTTGAAACTAGTGTCATTGCACTTCAAGTTTTGGAGTTTGAGTGACCTTAAGTAATTGACTGGAAGGAATCGCTGGGTTTTATATCATGAAGTCTTAGCTTGACTGTCTGCTGGATCAGCCACAGTCTGACTGTGTTCTTCATTCCTCGACAGGTTCACAAGGCTCGGCCCATCCGACACTACAAACCTGTTGCAGTGAAGAAGAGCGAGGTTCCGCTCACCGTCCCACAGTCGCCAAACTTCTCTGACCGTTTCCGTCTGTAATCGGCTCATTTTGATGTTTGTTTGGCAGAAACCATTTTTAGATTTGGTCTGAAGACCAAATCGGTCTCTTGTACATAATGTTTTTTATTATGAAAACCTTTTTGTAGCTTTAGATTCTAATTGTATGTTCAGTAGTTTTCTTGAAATAAACATTTATCAAATATCAACAATGACTGGACGCTTACTTGGCAGTAATGTTGAATACCAGTATTAACACATGGTGCATATAGAAGACTTTCAACGGGGTCAAACTGTTGGTTTGACCAGGGGGCCTCAGGCAAATACTTAATAGGCTCCTGGTTCAGTTTGTTTTAACTGTATGTAAATGTATCACTGTACTGTGTGTGTGTGTATCCCTAGTGCACAATATAAACTGAAAAGCTCAGAACCTTTAGTTGTTGGTCAGCTTGCTGCTGCTTCACACATTGAACATACAGCAGAGAAACAAAGGGCCCTTTTTATGCCAAGTAATGAAGTTTTTGGCCTTCAGTGTTTTGTTTTGCATTAAACTATGGCCTGCACAGCCACTTGTTCAATGTAATGTGGAGATGGCAAAATAAACATCGGTTGCAGTGGATCAGGTGTCTGGATTCTTCTTGGCTCCATTAGTGTTGGTTTGAACTAAAATTCTTTGTGGTGTTTGGTGCCATAGGTAATGCTAAAGCAGAGTAGTTTGATCATTACTACCTGCTTTAATGTGGAGAGTGTGTCTGGTGGTGATTTAGCAGACGACTCTGCAGCTTGGTTTCATCCCAATGACTCATATTGTTTTGGTTCTGTCACAAAAGGAAACGGCTGTTTTCACAGATGATGCTCTAAAAACCCACTGTCCATGAGCTGCTTGGCACCAAACGGACCAGCTGAACACTGTAGCATTTAGCAGCTAAAGAGCCAGAGGTTTTCCTCAGGAGGTGGTGGAAAACAAAGGTGGTTATTGAACTTAATGCCTCCAAATAAATTGTCACAGCTGCATGTGTAAATAAGCCTAGTTCACCGGCAACTTGATTTCAATATTCCTCTGCTGAGCCCAATTGGTCAAAAAAACAGGTAACAGAACTCAGTTTATATGGGCTGAAATGTAGGCAGACTGCTTCAGGTTCTGTTGTCACCATCTGGCCTAACCTACCGTACAAGCAGCAGACAGGAAGGGACGTCTTGGCGGTCGTCAGTGTTTTTCAGGTTGACCAAAGACAAGTTTCACACCCCAAAAGAAGTTATTCAGGTCAAGAAAAACCTTGTTGCTGGAATTGGCTTGGTCAGATTCAGATGTTGTAGATGCAGAATGTTAAACTGAACTGAACTAAACATCCTGGATTTGAGCACCTGTGGAAACAGAACCTCTCTGGGCTCTGCTTCTGCAGAAATCCAGATGTTCTCTGTGGCTCAGAGAAACATTTAGGCTCATGGTTGGATGTTCAGGGCTCATAGTGTTCAAAATCATTTCAGTGCTGTAAACCCAGTGGTCTAGAATAAGACCTTTGTACTAATTACATTTCACAAGTTTTCACCTGCTTTATAAGACCAGATCTTTATGGCCTTATTTGCTTCTTATCTGAGATTCAATTCAAATAAAGAGGGAGACTAGCTGAGTCACAGCTCAGACACTTCAGTTGGGTTTCTAACTTTTATTCAAGTTTAAAGCACAGCAATGACTGTAAACAGGAAGAAATGACAACTGTGTGGAGCAGATGTTCATCAACTCAGCTGACTGAGTGCAGAGGAAATGGTGAGCTCTGATTCCAATATGAAATCTCACAAATTAGACTCGTACAAAATAGCATTTAGGAGTGTGAGTTTAATAAAACAAAATAAATAAAGACAAGGGGTGTATCTCAGTTTGAGAATGGATCATGATGGAACTGTTTTGGGTACAAAAACAAGGCACAGTAAAACTTGAAATAAAATTTAGCAACAATAAAGGCTTTTCACAACCATTTAAAAAAGTGAAGCTGAACTCCAGGAGAATTCCTGAGAAAAGTCCAGCTAAAGGCACAACAACTGGATTCCTGATCCACAGCACACACTCCAGACCAAACAGGAGCCTTCAGCCTGATCCAGCAGCCACCAAAGTGGCTCCATATGTAAGAAGGACAACAGTAGTTTTCTGAACTAAAAGTGTTGGAACGTGGGCAGCAATGATCGATTCCTCTGCAGCTGTCCAGAGAAAGTGATACTGCTGAAGAAAATAAGTTCTGCATTGTTTGGAGTTTCTTTTTGCAGGAACAGTTCAAATGCCTTGCTTTGATTTGTGTTAAACAATATGCAACACCAGAACACGTTAAAGAATGGTGTCTCTTGAAGCCTTAAGTTTAATGAAGCACATTTCTGAACATTTTCAGTGAAACTAGCACCAACCAGTTGTCACACAGTTAGAGTGGAGCATGAGGCCTTTGGTGCAGCTGATGATACGACCTCAGTGAAAAGTGAAGCAGCAAATACTGAGATATTTAGTCCTTAATGAGCGAAGCTGTCATCATCATGGGTTACTTCCACAAGACGTCTGTCTGAAGTGATGTGCATGTAGGTGTAACTGGCCCCAAAGTGAGCCAGAATCATTCTGTACATTAAAACATGGACATGAACAAATGAAAAGAGAAAACAGTCACCACTCCATACCAGCACATAAGGAGCAGCTGTGATGCTGCAGGATGAGCCTGTGTGTGTCCTGTCTGGTCTGGATGACGTGTGCCATCTTTGGGAGTTCAGGGATCCACAAAGGACACTGCGATGTACCGGACGCCGGCGGTGGTTGGCAGGCCCTCGTGGTAGTGGGTGAGGCGACCCGGGTGCATGAGGGCCCAGCCTTTACGCGGAGCCTGAATGGAGCAGTCGTAGCGGAGGAATCTGCATCCACCACCCTGCAGGAGAAACACAACACATTAACATCTGACACCTGAAGGTCCACATAGTGGTTTTGCTTCTCTCTGCCTTATCATCCCGTTTTAAAAGTGTGTCTGTAATTAACTGCTAAGCCTTTGTTACCCCTGCTCACTGTGGGAGCGAGTTCCTGGAACTAAATTTGGGTTCTGCAAAAGTTTATCCACAAATCACAGCTCAGGATGCAAGGAGCCGGTGCATCCCATTGGGCAATCCGATTGGACCTTGTAAATATTTCTGTTGTTGAATTTTTAATTTGAATGTTTGAACTCAAATCGCCTTCCTTGTGGGCTTTTACTGTGACAAACCCGTGTGAAGCACTGACTTTTATCAGCAGTAGGAAAGTTTTATAAAACTCAGCAACAGAAAATAAGTAGTAAGTAAATAATGTTTAGTAAATGAAAATTCTTAAAAAGGAGAAGCGGTTTTCAGCACAGTGCTGCGTGACATCTGTCTGTGTCTGCTAAGATAACTGGGTTATAGTGGAGAATTCACCCTGATTTCTAATTAATGACTCGTAACAAGCAAAACCACTTTTGTGGTTGTTAGAATAATTATCAGTGATCATATATTATAGATATAGTTCCATCAAAAACTAAATAGTAGAAGATGTTATTTCAATTCAATCCTCAGATAGCCTTGTAGGACGTCTATACAATATATCATCGGCACAGCTTCACAAGTGCTAAACACTATTTAGCAGCTGTTTCCTCTCAGTTCAAACCCATGTGACATAAACCAGTAACACTGGACTACGGCTGATTGTTTACTCCAGTTCACTGAGGATGCAGGGAGACAGCATGGATGCAACAGTAAAAATAAGGCTCCTAGCTTCAGCTGTCTGTCATGCAAAGAAGACTCACAAACACAGATGGAAACACAAATGGAAAGTCTGAAACAGGGATGTGCAATCCGTGTATGAGGCGGAAACATGACGGCATTCCATGTTCAGTGATGACTCAGACTCCAGCACCATGCTTTGTTAAATCTCTGTGTCTGTGTTCATGTGAAAAAGGATTCTTTTCAGCCTCAAACTGGGCAGATTAACCATCAGAGGCAAAACCGAGCCATTGGCCTGTTTCTCCCATTATCTGTGCATTGTGTACATACTGTATTATTTAGCCATCACCTTAATGTAATCTGAATAGGAGATGTTACACTGTCCTACACTTAGGATGACTATACAAGTTGCTCTGATAATGGCATCCACTGCTGGCTTCTCTTTTCCTTTTCTAGTCTACTGTAGCACTAGGAGTTGCTGCAAACTGCTGTGGCGATGCTCTACTTTGATACAGGGTTTTCACGTTGTCACGATTAATGATGTCTTCTAGCCAATCAGTGCTTCCTGACAAAAGTATCCAGAACTTTGTCTTAGCACAACACAACAAGTTCTGACCTCAGCTCCAAAACTATTCAAACTTCTAACTGGGTATTTCAGTCAGCAAAGGTCAGCAGGTCATCTTAAAATGCAAAGCAGTGTGTCCTGTGGTGAGGACAGACTGTAACATAGATGTTCTGGATAATAAGTGGATAGTGAATGAATATTTACTTTTCAGTGGGTCTACATTCCCTACAAATGGTACCAAATGTCATTGTTCTTTCTGGGAAATTATTAGGAAATTACTGACCCATAAAATAAAACCGTCTCCTGAGATGACAGTAAATATCATTTATTTTTAATTTCACCAGAGTCTTAATTTGTAAATGTGACAGGACACTGCCAGAGCGTGCTTTTTTTATCTATACCTCCGAGGGTTGTCAGATTCAGATCTGTTCACAGCCTACACACATTCAGGATTCTGACTCATTCTTTGCTCAAATACAGTTTTTTATAGAACATCTTGAATTATGTTGGCAGCCACAACTACTGTTGTATTTCCATTGTGTATATATAGCTGCACAAAATCATCTGAACAGCACAGATGACCTAAGGTGGGGTTCCCCATCAAATGACCATCTAGTTCTGGGATTAATAACCACGCCTGTCGGACATGTCAGATTTCTGTACCAACCTCTGAACACACTCACCTGGAAATCAAGGCCCACGTGATTGAGTGCAATGTTTATAGTGAATGTAGAGGCATCGTGGTGTGGCCTCAAAGACGGCTGCTCATCTGGCTTATATCTAACTACAAAGGCCAACTCAAACTGAGCCTGCAAACACACAGACAGATGGGAGTCATGCAAGCATTCGCATCACAACAGGCCACAGATGCAGAGTGTGTTCACATGTACGGCCCCTTGCAGCTCCTGCTCGATGAAGAAAAGCATTAGCTTGGTTCCTGGTCCAGCATTCGCCTCCAGAGGTGGAGCAGAGAAGCAGAGAGAGAGGCGCAGATGTCCTGAAGCGTCTATTACCTGCCTACTCCTCGTCAATTACCTGGAAGTCAACGCCTTTCCTGTTGAGAGCAATGTTAATAGTGAATGTGGAGGCGTCGTGGTGAGGGACGAGCAACGGCTGCTCATCAGGTTTATACCTCACCACAAAGTTCAAGGGATTGGAGCACTGATGAGAAAAGACACGCTGGTCAGCAGAACACACAGGAACCACCGGGAGCACTGCACCTGACGGTTCCTGTCATTTTCAGTTCCACGTGGCCTCATGCAAGAAGCACTGAACGAACAGATTCACTCGTAGTAATTGGTATTTTGTCTAAATCAAATTCATAAGTGGTCCAGACTCGCATGGGGGGTTGTCTTCACTCTGAAACCAGCGATTTCTAACAGCTTTGTGCAGTTAGGACAGTTTGATAAATCTGACTTGGAACAGAGATATAAAAATGTTCTCACATGAGGCTCATCGTGTTGCATTATTCACACAGTCCACAAATGTGCAGACAACGACAAATCACACATCAAAAGTGTCTTTAAGCTGATGAGTTGTCAGATAAATGTTTGGCTAAATTTCTTCTTAATCATATTTAACCGTTGGAAATGTCAGGAGGGATTTTCTGAATTCCCTCTCGTCTCGTGTGTGACCATGATGGTGCAGTTCAGCAGTCTTACCCTGGTGTAGTAACCGGGATACATTTTCTCTGTTATTGGTGATACGTACTCAAGAAGGAATTTCTGCCACTCCTTTTCAAAATTGATTTGATTCATGTGGATATCGATGGTGGGGACGTTCTCATAGCCACCTTGGATTCTTTTGTCCTGAAACACAAGAAAAGGAACCAGTTACGATAAAATAAATCAGTAAACAACTTACAGCGAGTTAAGTCGACACTGAGATCACGTGACTCTGGTATGTAGGCGGATGATAACGTCTACCCAAAAACTGACCATTACAATCACATCACTTGTGCACAAAGAGGGAAAAGCACAGCCACGTACCACATTGCCTCCTCCTGACCACTTCCCAAAGTGTTCCATTTCTTCAACAAGGTGGTCACAAGCGATATCAGAGAAAACTGGGAACCAGTAGACATCAGGACAAGGCTGATGGACAGAAGACACAGTTTGGCCACTCAGTGACATGTATGCCATACAGCTGTGAAAATCTACAGTCGATATCATTCTTCATTTTAAAGTCTCTGCTCTGGGCTCCACTGCAGTCACAGTGTTGGTAAGCAACGCAGGAGGACAGAGGAGTTTATAGGCTGTGTTCTGTTGCAGTGTGGACAGCTCATGCAGTGAGTGTTGTGTCGCAGCTCACAGTTTCAATCAGCTTGTCTTTCATGATGAGAGTGTAGTTCTCATGAATGTAGCGCTCCTCCCAGTCCTGAAAGACACACACACCACACAGCATTCAGTGTTTACAGTGTCATTTTTCCAAATAGTACTGATAAACCTATTTAAATCCTTAGGTTTACATGTTCTTAATGCATTAGGCATTTCTTTGGGTGTTATAAACATGACCTCTTGTTTTTGCATCTTACTCTGAGATCACAAAGGTTTGTTTTCTGGTATTGTAGTGCAGTGAGAGGCAGCCAAATTAGGTATTATGTACAGGACAGGTTTAGGATTTGTACATCAGAGACTTCTCTAGAGACTACAAGTACCAAGAGCATCCGGCTGATTCTTTGGGAAAATGTCCTGTCTGTGGACTTTTATTGTGGTGACATCTGGTCCTTTGTTCCACTGGGTACATCCCAAGTCTTGCACCATTTCCTTGTGTCCTAGTCCTGCCCACATAAGATGTGAGGAAAACATGCGAGGAGAGAGGACTCGAGGAAACATTATTAACTACAAGACACCCCTTCCTCAGGTCCTTCATCTGAAGTGTCTAATCACCAAATGATTTCTGATAAAAGGGCGTCAGTTCACAAAAAACCTCTGCAAAGGATGGTCTTGTGTTTCCTCAGTCATGGCTCCTCCTGCACCGTCCTCTGTATGATATAAGAGACTTAAGATGTACCCACTCTCATCTTATCATCAACTCTCTTATATGATCGCTCCTACAGCCTCGACCCTCAGTTGACCCAGAAGTCGTTCTGGTTGCCTGAGGACTGAGGACGTTCCAAGTCTCTTGTATCAACCCTAAGGAGTGAGGATACACAAGGCCATCCCTCACTGAAGCTTTTTGTGAAGTGATAATATTTAATATTTATATTCGGAACCATTTTTTATACATACCATATTTCCAATGAGTTCCACTGAAATAACCAGCACAGGTGGACCCCCCCCGCCCAGAACCCACACTGACCCCGTCACCACCACCAGGAAACAGTGTACAGCTGATACTCACCACGCGGTTTTCAAAGATCTGCCACAGATCATTATGAAGATGGGAGGTCTGGTAGTTTTCTGTTGAGAGGATACGACCGAAGCTGTGCATGTTGGTCACATACATGAAGATTCCCTGAGAGAAAAACAATAATGGACAACTTTACATTTACAGTCATAAGCATCCCCTTTTATAACATCTAGGACGCCGTGATTAATTATGACGGAAAGCACCAGAAGAGTCCAAACTATCCTTTACATGTGTAATTATTTTGTTCATGATTTATATGCAGTACATCATGTACTGATCCTAATTACATCAGTGTGGATTCTCAGTTTCCTCTCTTACTGACCTTGTTGCGTACGTTGTGACAATAAGTCATGTCCGGGTCTAAGATGGGTGAGGTGAACAGCTCGTAGTCTGTGAGCTCTGATCGAAGGAGGCTGGCCTTCACCAGGTACACACTGGACACATATGGGACGTTCCACACTCCCCTAAACAGCAGGACAGTCTTAGACAAATCTCACAGCAACATCAGGACCAAGACTTTTGTTACTAATCAGTCCTCTTAAAGGTGCATTAACTCTGATTTTCCCCAGTGTCTGATAACCCTGGTGACAGTGGGACAGGACGTGGTGTCTCTCAGCTACACCCCCCATCTGTAGTTCATCTTGTCACTAGGAAACAGGATGTGATGGGAGGGGCAAAAAGTGGCTTATGGTGTCAGTTTGTTTTGAGTCTCACTAGACCCTGTGGGCTGAAAAGACATTTGATAGAGAAACTTTCAGTAGTTATGGGATAATGTTTAAGCAGCTTACGCTCTGCGTCCTTGAACTACGTCCACATAGTCCTCAGACCTGGCGTAGTAGCCATCTGCACTGAGGGCTCCCCAGAAGTTGCTCCACAGTCGGCCAGCTCGAGTTATCATTGGTGCTACAATAGGGCTAAGGAACAATTAAAGGAGTATTATTATATTTCTCCATCTACACAAATACAGTTATAAAAGCAAAACCCATGCAAATTAGTTAATGTAATGGAAATGAAGAGCTTTACCACATATGGCTGTGACTACAGCTGTGGCAAGACACCAGCTGGCATCAGATTATTATACTGATAAATATACTTGCAGGTTTTGTTCAATGAGAATTTTCAGTGTGTTCTCATTCTTTAAGACCACTTCAATGTCCAAGCTGAAGAAATAGTCACAGTCCTTGTCCTTCCGGCACATATCACTGCAAGGAAGGAAAGACAGTGAAAGATCAACATGTATGCCATGCGGGCACATGCTCCACATAAACAGTGTGAATGTCAAAGATGACACGTAATGGCTCCACCGCACTGTTAGCCTGCATAAACTCTTCAGTGGACAGTAAATAATGGGACAATGTCAGACTTCTGTGTGTGCAACATTAAGTAAACGTTGCATGCCCAGTATCTGTAGCATCATTTTTGTTGAGCTTTTCTTCACAAAACCTGAGGAGAATTAGGGTTTAAAACTTAAAGTGACTTCATGTGAAACGTTTCATATTTTAAAACGCTCAGATTTGAGTAAGAACTTGTGCTTGATATGTTTTCTCCAACAAAACCTTCAGTTACCAAGTGAAAATGATTCAAATATCATCTCCTCCTTCACCAGCAGTGAAAAATCTCAAATCTATGATATTAAACTTTACTCTCATTACTGCACTGGGTGAAATTTCTGTTCATTATGCCTCCCCGTCCTCTGAGGGACCATGGGAAACTGAGAGAATTATGAAAAGCGCCAGTTATATATAGACAACAGCTGCACTTGAAGATTGTCTTGGGAATGAATGTGAGATTTCATAGAAAGGCAGATAAGAACAAGTATAAAGTGACAGAGAGATGAGTTACACTTGGTAGGAGACCTTTCTGTGCCACGTGCCTTGCTTAAGCAATAAAGGTATCAATATTGACGGATGATTATGTGCAACTGGGTTTCTTGGACATGAGATGGTAACTCACAAGCCCAGGTTACGGGAGGCAGCTCCATCTATGTCCTCTTCAGGCCCGATGAACCTGACATCCTGGTAAAGGCTTCCATGATCCTGCAGGAAAGCGTTGACCTGACGCTCGTGGTGAACTTCCTGGTGAGCGACGAGGCAAACACAGATGGTGAAAACATTGCAGAGCAGGAGTCTGAACTACTGCAGACACAGAGCAGCACTAAACATGCTTTTATGACAGCAACATAAAAAAGCCGGGCTTTTACTGAGGTGGGTTTACACAACAATGTACGTGATAATTGTGCATGTTTAGTTTTCTGTGACCCTCTGTTTGCTTTTCAAGGGTGAGATGACAAAGGGCCTGAATGTTTGTCATAATGATCATAAATCAAGCAGGTTTATCCCCTGAGGAACATTAATGCTGATGTACTAATGTGCTCCTGTTACCTGGTTGTAAATGAAGAGCTTGAGCCTGTTCTTGGGGTACTGGAGCTTCAGCAGGCGCTCGAAAAACACTGTGACAAAGGGGGTGGGCTGCTGAATGAAGATGCCGATCACCACCAGTGGGTATTCACTTTCCTGTTGGGATCATACGAGTTCCAGGAGACAGGGCTTGTTACTTCTATTTGGTGCCAAACGTTGACCAAAAGACACCCAGTGAACTGTCAGATATACTGTAGCTGTGGGACACTGTTAATCAGTGTGTACAGACCTTAAGAGCTGTGAGCGGCCGGAGATCCTCATGACACACTGTGCACCCAGTCTCAAACGTCCACGTGTTAGGGATGTAGTTACCCAGGTAGTTGATCTGGAGCTGGGAAACACACATGCACTCTTGTAGTTTATCACATGTCAAATCTGAAATATCCAGTCCTTAAGGAAGTATGATGTCGGATCATTTTTGTCCCTTTTCGCAGTAGAAAACATCATGTTAAAGTAACTGTTTGTTGGTAGAAGATCCATCTGTGACCTTCTGAGTGGGTGGGTTTGTCTACACGTTTGAGTGGCAGCTGATCTGGAAGTCAAGGCACCATGACACAATTTAACAAACCTGTGGGCTTTCAAGCCACGAACAGACAATATTTAGTCAGCAGTGGTGGAACACGACTGACCGGCGTCAACTTTTGAGAAATCTGCAGCCTCTTATCGCAATCACCGGTGCATTGAAATTTTCATAACACCACAGAACCATGAGAGCAGGGGCCCAAATGTGTTTTAACACCCCCACCAACTCAAATAGACTCTTAAATCCACAGCTGATCTGCTGGAATTCACTGTGAATGAACTTATTGTGAAATTATCTTAACTACGAAGCATGTGTAATAAGTCACAAAGATTATTCTCAAATAAGATTCAGGTCAAACAGGGTCGGTCCGCATCATGATGTACCATCTGTTCTTACAGGATGCAGCTGTGAATAAGTTACTGTACCATTAGGGAAGCTGCTTTGACTGACCATTACTAAAGCCAGGTGTCATTTTGGTTTCAGACTCCACAGTGTGAACAGACTTGCTCGCCAACCCCTGCTCCACACTGTGTTTAGCATGTGACAGATCAGTACCTTGGTTGGTCCGTTCCCGTGGATGATGACGGGCAGAGTGTCATACAGCACGTTTCTGGCTCGTACACGACCATTCTCAAACTTCAGTACCACCTCGTCTGGAAACACAAACACACACACCAAGCTCAGCCTTCGTTGTCAACCCCAACTTTGTTATATTCCTGTATTTCCTATGGTTTAGGAGATAACAGGAGCAGTTGTACACACATCTTTCTAAATTAGTACTTTAGCAACTGCTAAGCATGTGGGAGGAAACATTCTGCTTTAGGGTTGTGTAACAGTCAGTGGCACAGGAAACACTGCATAAACAGGGAAGAATGGATTATATGAAATTATCTAGAAGCAAATGTGCTGCAGTCAGTCAAGAAAGTGACAGTCAAAAGAGGCTGTCGTCCATGCACGCCGCTGGACTCTCGGTTATCTATGTGACTTTTGACACATCCGTCTCACAGAGAGCTCACAAATTCCTCCCTCAGCCTAAGAGGTGGGGAAAAACTGTAGACACTTCTGAGAGTTCAACTCGTCTGTGAACCTGCCACTCCATCAGCACTGTCAGAGTTAACCAGAATCAGAGACAGAAACATGTTACTGCAGGAGCCAGACAAGACGTTAACCACTGATTATCAAGTTTTCTGGAGGAAAACCTTTTCAGAGCAGCTAAAAAACAATACTGTTAACATAGAGGGGAAACCCTAAGTGCAGGACTGTGCACATACTGGTTCACTATCCCCTGTCAATATAATAAGGCTGTTATAAAGCAAAGCTACTGCATGTTCATGTTTCACTGTAGCAAATGTACAGACACCGTAAGTTCACACCGTCAGAAGTGTGACCAACTGATCACACCAGGCTGTAGCTTAGTTTGTCATCTGAATTCCACCAGAATCGCTTTGGTCTCAGCAGGACTGAGCAAAGATCCACTGAAAAATTATTTAACTGTAAAAACACGGTGTAAAGTTCAGTAACGTACATCAGGCTGCACCGTGATCCTTTGTAAGGTGTTATTACATCAAGTAAATCACTTTGTGTAAATATAAAAGGAGGAAAATCTGATCATCATTGAAGCAGAACCACACATTGAGTGAGTTTATGGGACAGTAATGGTCACATTTAATGAAAACACACTTACTGTATGTGCAAATTACATATGAGGACGGTGGGTGGTGTGTGTGGCAGATTACATGCGGTGCACTGAGTAGACGTTGCCTTCTGGAGGATAACACACATACAGCTTCTTAAAGGTGTTGTTGGAAGGGTACACTTAACATTTCTAACACTTCACTGACGCCTAGACAGTGTGTGCTGCACGTGGCTTCAGCTGGTGTAACATCTACTTACTGAACTTTACTGGACTAAGAAACTCACCAAGGGCCCCGTGAAGGTTCTGGAACAATCTGCATTTGCTGTCAAGTGTGATATTTATGGATTTCTGAAACATGGAAACACATTGTTTTCACAGTATTTGTGGCAACCAGATCTAATTACATCAATTCTCAAATTAATAGCCAATCTTGACATAATGAGTAATTATAGTTAGCAGAAACAAACTAAACAGCACCACTACTGCTTTCATTCAGTGAACTCTGTTTTGTTGTGTGCCGTCAATAACACTACTGCACTTTCTGCAGATGTTCCAAATTAAAAGCCCGCCGGTAACAGGAAGTAATACGCCCACTGAGCTATGGAAAGTGTTTAATGTTAAACATCTGCAGAAGGTGCTGAGTCTCACTGTCAGCAACTTGACAGCCCTCAAACATCTGCAAAACAAAAGTGGGAGGAAAAGATGAATGAATAAAAACAGTATTCCTGTCAGCATTAATGCTTTGGAAATACACATTAAGACATGGAGGAAATGTTGAGTTCAGAAAACAGGAAGGATTCTTACTAACAGATGAGGAGAAAATAAAAATACTATAATAAAATATCACAGTCCTGGCAGGTTTAGTATTGAAGAGTTTATGGTGATTTTGGTGTGAAACAAATCAAAGTGCAGACCCACAGGGTGAACACTGCAGTGTAACATATCTTACTCTTTTTGCTGGATCGATGTAAATCTTGGTGAAGAACAGCTGGTCACTGTCGTCGTCTTCTCCCGTCCAGTCCGAAACCAGTTCTTTGATGTTGGGAACATAGCCGATGAAACCTGAGGACAGAAATGAAGAGGAAGTGATAAGTATGCTACAGGTCTAGAGCTGATCATCAGACATATTCCCATTCCTAAGTGTCTCAGATCGTGTCCAGATTCAAACAGATCAAATGAAATCCTCTGTTTCTAGCTGCCATGTCCAATGGCTGCAGCCAGGTGCAGTTTTTATGGCCTCGCTGACAACAGACCTGCTGTTTCCCTCCTATAAAAACAAATGGCTAAGCTCTTTCCTACTGACGTGGCGTGCTCTTAAAACGGGTAAACTGGACCCTACCGTGGCTTGTGAACATACCAGTGTTGAGATGTGCATGGCAGCATTACAAAGAGTATATGTGTGGGGATGGTGTAAGCAGAGGTCACCGTGTTAGGTCACATGTACACGGAGACTTGGTGAGCAAAGAGAGAAAACGTGGTGCTGGCTGTCATTTGGGTTTTATTGAAACATCATCGGTGCAAAGAAATTCCAGATATTCCAGACCTGGAATCACAACTGGGAAGCTGACACGCTCGTAACGGGACGTGACGGATATGAAAGCTTCTGAAAGCACAGTCTGAGAGCTGACTGCAGCTTTACACTGAAGGTGCCCTGTTGTGTTTTCTGGTCAACAAATTAAAGTTATATTTACATTATACACACCAGTTTTATGCCACCAAACTCACTGGGTGTACTTAAGCTGTAACAAACATGTTATATGATTTTACTTCCTCATAAAGTATTTGCAAAACAGGTTCCGTAAAATTATCGACTTAATATTTTTTGAGTGAAGCTGACACTTGTTGAATGGGAGTTATGTGGGGCCAGGACCTTTTGGAGCCAGCATCTAGGGCTGTCACTGGCTTCAGCCCCCAGCTGTGGCTGTCGGTGCCCAGTTTAACGATTTCTGTCCTAATGAGACACTTCCCTCCTTCAGCTTTACTGGAATGGCCTCCAGTCTCTGCTACCCCTCTGCTTGGTAAACACGATGAATGCTAATTCTAAACCTCACCTCACAGAAGATGTGTCTCTTTTTTATTTTCACTGCTGCCGCTTGGTTAGTCTACGCACACCACTGTTTCAAACATGTGTCCAAGAGAAAATGGCTTGTCTAAGAGTAGTTTGGCTGTGGTCATGTACAGAACAGAGGTTAACTTCCAGCTGCTCATCCCTATCTACAGGACTGTTGTCTTATGAGGCAGCACCGGCTCCCAGCAGCAACATCCATCACTGCACATCCTGACTAACCACTTTCAAGCTTCTAACAAACCCAGCAATCTCAAAAACAAAACTATTTTATTTAGAGTCTTTTAGGAATACAGCAAGAGCAAAGTTTCCTGGCAGGACTCATTCAGACTGGGAAAAAAAAGATGAATCTCATCACCATGTCAGAGCCAGGAGTGACAGCCTGGCGTGGAGGACCTACCCCCAGAGCCCAGGAATCTGTTGCCCTCCCTGACATGGGGGTGTTTGTCCTCCAGGTGTCTGTCAGGCCAGATCAGGCTCTCAGAAGAGAACACCACCTTGTGTCTGGCCTGCTGGAACTTCTTGAGTAGCTCTTTGGGACCTGAGGCGAAGACCACATCGTAGCTGTATCAAACAGAAAACAGAAAATGTGTGAAGCCTCTGACACAGTCCAGACAGTTGAAAGGGCTGCCTTCATAAGAAGCCAACGTTGTTCATTTGGGGGGTTACACTGCTGGGGGCTGTGTTTACCCTCATAACACCAACTGTATAAAAAAACACCACACTATCCACTGATTTCTGCATGACAGTATACGATCCATATCAGGGACTTTACAGCTCCCATATATTACTATATATACATACATTTTAAGGTTCCATTAAAGATACTGTTCAACAATTTTGTCTTGTTTAGAAATGTACAAATGCATTAATTCAATTATGGTTTTTTTTTTTCACCATTTACATATATGTAAGGGTCAGAAGATTAGGAACATCTCTGAATATAACGCTGTCCAGTACAACACCACCTTCACCTCAGTGATAAAGATATAATTAAATTAATGAATTTCTGACCAAAGTCTGAAACATTAGAAGCTTCATAAAGATAACTGTGATGCTTTTGGCTGTGCAGGGAAAATACTACCTGTCAATAAAAAGGATGATGTTGTCCTCATTCTTCATCTCCTCCACAGCCACTTTGAGGAGTCGCACTTTCTGGCCCCCTCCTGGAGCCGACATGTAGTCACCTCCTCTCCATTTCTCACCCCTACCAAGAACCTTAAAACATACACAGGCACATTTACTGCAGTTTGAAAACATTAACTTAAATGTGTCCTTAGATAATCTTCTTTTCTGCCACAAAGCTATGACTCGCACAACCAGGGATTAGTGTTCTTTGAAAAAAATCAACAAAGACATGTTCATGACTAGACAGCAGGTAGGCGTTCGTACCTTAACGGTGTAGTTGAAGTGTTTCGCTGACCTCAAGAAACGCCTGAAGCCATCTGTCTCTTTGGTTGCAACTGTCAGAACTAGAAGTTTCTCTGAAGGACACAACATTGCAGAAGACTTCAGGTAGATGACACCACACACTTCAGATTTTTCTTTTGCCTTAAGAGTGAAGCAGCCCAGAGGTATACCTGACCATGATATACTGCACGTCTTCATTGTCCGTAACAGGAATCTCGTCATAAAGTAACAAACCAGAAATAAAAACATGAGCTTTAACTGATCAAATAATCTGCAAAGACCATGTACCTATTAGCAGGAATAAGCCCTGATCAGAAAATGAGATTTCAACACAAAGGGCCCACTGAAAGACAAAGACACAGGATGAAACAACAATGTTGGGTTGATTCAGTGTTGTAATAGGTGCAGATTTAGTTACTTTACCAAAAGTAAAAGCTGCTGAAATATTATTTAGCCTTCTGTTAAAATGATTTGTTGATGAGATCACTGACATACGGGGGAACAGGTTGTGGGCCAAGGCGTCCTGACTGAATCCAGCCAGGACACTGGTTTTTTTTTTTATCACCCTCTATTTCCTGTCATCTCTTCAGTCCAGAATGAAGACAAGACTTTTTTCCATTTAGTTCTATATATTTAAAATCCATTTCACTATCATTGTTACTGCTTTTATTTTATCATTTGATTGTTATAATGGGTTTTAATAGGACACCATCTGTCACAGGGCACCTTTATGACATGGTTTTATAGGGTTTTAAATCAATTTTTCCCATTTCTAATAAAACTACAAGATCAGATTGGGTTACATTATGGAAAGCATTTTGCCACAGTCTGTAGGAGAGACCAACTGTGAGTGTACGGTAGGTTAATGCTGATAAAATAATCTGTCGCTGTGAATATGGTAGTTTGATATTTTATAGTTTCATTCAAAAGTGCATTTCAAAAAAGGAAGCAAGAAACACTGAGAAAAAGTATTTAGTTCATTTAGTCCTGAAATCTTATCCCAGTTTCACCGGGTTTCGGTAGAAAAGATCAGATTTTATCCTGTAAAGTGTCATTTGCTTTATTGTTGTACTGTTTCCTCTTTATTCTGTTTCAGCCTACTTCATTCATCCATGCATACAGATGACACTGGAGACAGTTTATATTACAGGACTTTGTCGTTTATATTAATGAGGCTATTCTTTGTACAGGTCAGACTCCAGCCTGCAAAATGATCAGCACCTCTCTGAAAGTGTACGAACACAAAGTGAACAATATCACCTCCCCTGCAGTGTTCTTGGTTTAGATTTACCTTGGTGTACCTAATAAACTGATAATAAACTGGTAAGCAGAGCTGTGTGGATAACAGCCCAGTCCACGTCAGCGGCTCAGCTCCTACGTGCAGATCCACTCGCGTAAAGAGGGAACACGCTGTTAGACTCCATTCATCTTATCTTGGCAACTGTTTACGTTGGATAATTGGAATACAAGTTACAAAATAAAGTTGCTTACATCTTTTATGGATTGTAAACTACTGCTCTGCGTGCATCAAGCACCACGAGCGGCGCATGCGTGGCCAAAATCTCAGCCTTCTAACTGGGTAGCTTTATTGAAGACAACACAGAATACAGTCATACACAGCGATTTTTCCTACAGGCCTCTGACTTCTTTAGCCTGCCAACAACTCTGCTGGAATCTTCTAGCGGAGATTCTGGACACACGCACAGACATGCCAGTGTCAGAGGTTTTCTTAGGAGCTGGGGAGTCTCCCTCAGCCCGTACCAAGCCTGGGCGTCCTGCTCTTTTAGTCCGAGATGGACTTTAACAAATGCCACCGTTGTTTTTGGCTTCAGGATGTAGGCTCAGCTTACCTTCGGGGATCCGCTGCTCGTCACAGTTTGTCAGAGGGAAAAGTGCACAGACAAAAATCCCTGAAAACAACAGCAAGGACCAAAGTGTCATTGTTGCCAAGTTAAAATCCGTTCACGATTCCCGATGTAAACCTTAGATAGCAGATTCCACCGAGGAAAGGAACTTTACAGGAGTGCGTAAACTCTACCAGCACCGCCCGCTCTCTCTCCCCCTCTGTCGGTCGGTGTCTCTCTCTCCCCCTCTGTCGGTCGGTGTCTCTCTCTCTCTCTCTCCCCCTCTTGTCTCTCTCTCCCCCTCTGTCGGTCGGTGTCTCTCTGCCCCCCTAACTCTCCCTCCTCACTCTCTCTTTGCGTCCAAATAACAGACTATTGAACCGCTACAGAGCTGCAGCAGAAAATTAATGATACATAAACTAACGGGACTAGTACAACCGTAATGTTCTGTGCAGTGACTTTACCATTCACATTCTATAACACAGAAGTATTACAACTATGCATCCGCAACGCCCACTTCCAAACTGGGGGGGAAACGCTGTTTGAAGAGGATGAGCCAGCTGTTCTGCAGACATGACCACTTGCACGTACTCCCCAAACCAGTGTCTTAGGTTTTATTGTCGATAAGCAGAGGTAGAGATTAGGTGCAGTAACTCCGTCCTTAAGTACAATTTTAAGGTATCTGTACATTCATTTTCTGTTCACAGTTGGACTTCTCTACATGTCGGAGACAAGTTTTTGCAGCACTACATGTATTTGATAACTTTAGTTCATTCTCAGAATCAGATCAATAAAACAAAATACAATACAATCATCTAACTTTATTGATCCCTGGTTGAAAATTCACAATAAGGTAATTACCATTAACTCCACCTTTACCAGCTGCAACATTAAAGTGATGGACACAATTATGCATCACTAAATATAATCCAATAGCATCATACACATTAATATACTTCGAGTATACTGTGATACTAATACTTTTGTAAAATTTGGAAAGCATGATTTTTACTTGTAGCTGAGTATTTTTACAGTGTAATAATGTTACTTTTACTTAAGTAAACAATTTGAGTACTTCTTCTATCACTGATTCTAAGATATAGGTCAAACAAACTATAAACTAAAATATATGTATTACTACATTAGACACACAGTTGGAATGATTAGATCAAGAAAAACATGCTTCAGTGTTCTTATGGCCATCTGTTTGTCCCTTAAAACTACATTTGGCACAGGGCCCTTCTACCAGATAGAGCTATGTTTGGCTAAGAATGGTCAACCTGCTTCAGTTGATGTTGCACTTAGTGGTGCAAACTCCAAACCAACTTTGTAATGAGATGTGCAGTGAGTCAAATTATCACTTGACATGCAGTAAACCTGGCGCTATCGGGACCTAAGGAACATCTGGAGCGGTTTCTCTATTTTACGTAGTTGTAATACAGACTTGCTTTTGGCAATGTCTAATAATATAAACATAAATGATTTTACCAAGGGTTGTTTGTCTGTGTGTTAGCCCTGCAATGGACTGCCGACCTGTCCAGGGTGTACCCCGCATCTCGCCCGCAGCTGGCTGGGATTGGCTCCAACCCCCCGTGACCCCATTTGGGACTAAGCGGTTTGGAAAATGGTTGGATAGATGGATTCTGCCAAGAGATTCACTCTGAAGTAGGCTACAGTATGCAGTACTACAGTACACATGATGAGGATGTCATTGTGTCCAAGATAAGTTTTAGCTACTCTCATATGACAATAAAATGTTATGTTATTGCTGATGAAAATTAGATTTAATCTAAATCTGATACAATACATCAAATGGCAACATTTATAATTAATATGTTAATGGTCCCTTACAAAAAAAAGTTTAAATAAGGAAACATTTGTTTAAGATGAGCAATGAATTATTATATTATTTGGTAGCACTAAGACATGGTATAATAAATACTACAGCCTAAATTAGGAATATATTTCAGAGAATTAAATGACTGGTTTCTTCTGGAGAATGTCTTAGTGCGGTATTTATTTTAATGCTAAACAATGACTTTGAATATATATAAACATGTTTTAACACAGAGAAATAATCATATGTGAAAACTTTTGCTTACTAATAAAAGAGATGTTGAAATGCGGGCAGGTTTTAAAATGAAATGACCTTTTTCACTTCCAATTATATAATTTATATTAATGAATACAATACCCCAAATTAAAGTATTTAAACTTGATTAACTGACACATTATTCCTCTTAATATAGCAAACTCTTTTTGTGTTTTAGATTCTCCTTTACGTGCATCTTATGTTTTAATATTAAATGTGTTTTGCGACATTTCCGGTCACAGCTGTGCCGATTTCCTTTACGACAGTTGTGACAAACAAATGTCAAGCATACAGTCAATGGTGTCAAGTAGCTAAATGCGCTGGCTGCAGAGTAATCTGTAAAGGCGGGCGATTTTCTTTAAATACGGATGCAAACGACATCGAAATGACGTGAGATACGATACCTTGATGACTGTCGTATACACTTATTGATGGATAAGGAAATAACAACGATGCAAGAAAAACCAACTACAGTTTTCGTTCTCAGCGTTAGATACCTAGCTAAGCTAACTTAGCCGGAAGCTAGCAAAGCCAGTTTGTCAACTCTCGACCTAGGGAACATGCTCTGAGTGCGTGCCGAATTCGAGGTGAAACACTAACATTTGTTATGTTCAACCCTGGATGCTGACTGGTAGCGGGGCTTTCATTATTTAAGCACGCAATGTGGCTACAGCAGAGACTAAAGGGAATTCCGGGCTTGTTATCAAGCAGCTGGGCGAGAAGACTCCTCATAGGTCTGCTGCTCTTCCTCATCTTCTACTGGTACCTGGGGTCAGAGCTCCGATTGAGGTTCTTCAGCGGCGCGGGCCTGCCCGGTGGGGCGGCTGGGCAGTGCCTACTGGCTGAAATCCACAGATGGAAGTCTCTCGTAGAACGGGGAGAGGGTATATACAGCGCACCTCAGGAACAACTAGACACACCTTTTGTGTCAGGTAACGGCCATATTCTGATTGACATTGACTCCAATAAACTGTGGGTAGCGTCGTCTACACAGCCCGGCTCGGCTCCGGTCCACCAGACTGAATACTCACCGAGAGTCGGCATCCATCTCGAGGGGAAGCGGATCGAGGCTCAGGCCAGCATGCTGTGGTTCCGGAAGGGAGCCGTGCTGTCTGTCCGCTGTGCCTCAACAGCCGCTGTGCAGTCAGCCCGAGACTGTCTCACCATCCGAGAGGAGTTCATCGCGCACAGAAGCAGACCTAACGTCTATCTCCAGCGAGTCCACATCAACAACCCGTCTGACAGGGCCGTCTCCTTGGACGTGTCCTCCGACAGTCCCGCATTCAGCAGCAAGTTCTCCAGCAGCGTGGAGAGTCTGGACGACAGAGAGATAGTGCTCTCCTCCGGAAAAGTTCCTGTGAATAACAACCGGATGGTACCGGTGGTGGTCGTCACCAAGAAGCTGAACAGCAGGATCCAGGTGTCCCCTAAATCAGAGCACACAGAGAACATCCTGTCAGTGGTGTGGACCTCAGAGCCCATTGAGTCCTCCAGGGTGGAGGAGACGTTAATCTCCCTCAGAGAAGGAGCCAAAAAGGAGCTGGGGGAGCTGCTGAGTGTCAATGTGGATGAGCTGGTAATGCATCACCAGCAAGCCTGGGTGGACCTCTTCATTTCAGGTGAGCTTTAAAGGTTTTAATAGAGTTTAGTGTATTTATTTACTACACAGCCTCAACACCCTACCTCACCAATATATACTGAAGCAGGTAGATGATTTTCAGACGATGTAAACTTCCCTTAAATGTGTGGGAAAACATTCATATAAAAAATGTACAGCATGCTTTAAAGACATACCAGTACACTGACATACCAGTACACTGTTGTGTGCACCGTTAAAATGTGTTAACATTTCACATTGGCTGAACTTTGGTCCTGATTGATTGATTGGTTCTAAAAGCAGTGACATGTCGAATCAGTGCACATGTTGGAAACACACCTGCCAGCTATAGAAGTGATTTTATGATAGACCAGGCCTGCTCATGTGTTCTGTCAGGAGGCGAGGTTTAGTTGTAACCACAGCACATCCTGTTCAGAGGTTGGTGTATGGTTTGATTGTTGCACCAGTGTCTCTGTGGCATCTCGATACCTTGCTGTGTGGACTTGTTCTCATCTAGGAACTGCCATCTGCTTTTCCACAGGCCAACGGGCTCATCACACAGTTGTTAGCTCACATTTTCTTTACAAAAAGCTGAAGTTGTTAAATGCTGTTGTCACAGTAAAAATTTAAAGAATCGAAAATTGGAAACATTTAAATACTGCTTTAAAATGGTCTGTATGTTTTCATTCAGATTTAGATCAAACAGAAGACCAGAACTGACTCGTGTGAAACACATTTGTCGAAGCGTAAAGTCACACAACATGCATAAGTGACGGGTGGTCTTTTCATAACTGAAACTATCCGCCAGGTATTTGTTTACAGATGTGACTGATGTAAAAAGCAGTTTCTAATTTTACAGGTGTTTCTGTTAGTTCTTGTATTTAAAGATGCGTCAGTCATTTAAAGCTGGTTTCAGTCTTGACTGTTGTATTTGTGTGACTGCCTCTTCACTTTGTCTTTAATGGTGCTGAGTGTAGATCGATGGGCAAAATGGCAGCTCTGTCTGTTCAAATGTACCACAGCGTGCACAAAGTGAAGGGATCTGAATACTTTCTGAAGCCACTGTAGTACTTTTATCACACTAACTTTGTTGTTAAAAGTATTCATAATCTTAATTTGTTCATGCAGGTGTTGAAATGAGGAGGATCACAGACTCCCACACACCATCCAGCCGCACTGTGAACACCACCCTCTACTACATCCTCTCCTCGTCCACAGCTCCCCTGCTGGACCAAAGGCTGAACAGCGAGGAGCGCGCACGTCTTGAGTCTAGCCTCAACTATGCCGACCACTGCTTCAGCGGTCACGCCACCATGCATGCAGAGAACCTTTGGCCTGAGCGAGTGAGCAGTGCTGCGCAGATCCTGCAGCTGGTCACGCTGTGGACTCTGACTCTGCAGAAGAGAGGCTGCAAGGTGCTGGTGGCGGCAGGAGCCCATGGAGCCATGCAGGGCATGGTGCTCAGCTTTGGCGGCCTTCAGTTCACAGAGAACCACCTTCAGTTTCAGGCTGATCCAGATGTCCTGCACAACAGCTACGCCTTGAGAGGGATCCACTATAACCAGGACCTCATTAACCTGGCGGTGCTGCTGGATATGGATGGGAAGCCTTTCCTTCACGTGTCGGTGAAGCAGCAGGAGAAGCCAGTGAAGCTGTACGCCTGTGAGGCTGGCTGCCTCAACGAGCCCGTGGAGCTCACATCTGAGGTCAAAGGTCACACCTTCCCTGTGATGGTAACCCAGCCCATCACCCCACTGCTCTACATCTCCACAGACCTGCACCACCTGCAGGACCTCCGCCACACCCTGCACCTTAAGGCCATCCTGGCCCATGAGGAGCACATGGCCAACAGGTACCCAGGCCTGCCCTTCCTCTTCTTGTTCATACAACGAGTACTGTGGACCCGGCGCTAAGCCCCTCTTCAGGAGCAAGGTATAAACAATGGTACTGTTAGCTGGCAACAGAAACAGAATACTGCCAGCTGATCTGCTCTGCACTGTTTTTGTTTTTTAGTTTGTTTTTTTTCAGCTCGTGTGTCTGTGGTGGTGTTTTCCTTTCTCTCTGTCAGCGCTCTCTCTTTGGGTTGGTTTCTTTGTCTTACACCCTCTGTGAGTGAACTTTATTTTCCCATCTCACGTGTTTGGAGTCAGTTGGCACAACAGCCTTCCACACCTCTCCTTCCCCCTCTCACAAAGAGGATTCCACAGCTCTTGTTCCGTGTTGAAGGCGTGGATAATGTTGTTTTTGGTGCAGCTCTTGACAAACCTGCTCTCAGTCGAGAGCACCAGTAGAGTAGTGGCCCTTATTTGAGATCAGAAACCCTGAAGTTCTAGTTAACCATTTGGTCTGCAGCATCATTTTGGCACACCACCTGTTTGACTGCACTTGCTGTTCACTGCAGAGTGTAAAACATTCGATGAGCTCAGTGGGAGATAAACAAGCACAAGAGATATGGTCTTCTTCCAAATGCTTTCTTTCACTTATTGTTTCTCTGGTTTGCTTCTTGTGACTTCGTGACAACATTCACACTGTTGTGACTTTGCATCCATACCAGAAGTTTTTCATTGATAATAAATCACATACACTTTTATTGGGATATTTTCCAAGCTACAAAAGCTTTTTAGATTTCAAATGTGTTTATTTTTTTCCAAGGACATCGTTAGATTTCGTTCATTTCATCACAGTGTACAAGTCGGGCTCGAATTCTCCATCCATTACAGAGGAAGTCTTGTCTGCTTTTATTTTTGTAAAAGGCACATTGGCATTGTTTTGTAAGGTGTTGGACTCTTCAGTCGGGGCCTGCACTTAGAACGTTTCAGGTAGCCTGTGGAGTTTTTGACTACTAATATGTGTGATAAGGAGGGAAATGGGTTCAGCATATCTGTAAAGCCTTTTGTTTGCTTATAATAAACTTCCAGAGGGCGCGTTAACTTGGACAGAAATAAGATTGGCTCTAATGCTCACTGTGATGATCTAAAACATTTTTTGTGAGCTATTTTTTATTTTTATTTTTATTTTTTTATTGTAACGGGGGAAAAAAAGAAGCATTGGCTCCGTCAGTGGCCAGAAAAACTCAGACACCTTAAATCTCAAAGGCTCTAGCTGCTCATGTTGGTTTGTAGTAAATTCACAGGACCATGATTTGTAGTAAACATAACATTGGTGTGATCCTTTAAAGATATTCTTTATTACAACATTGTGCTCACAGCTCAGCTGATCAGACAGGATGTAAACAAACCTTCACTTTAGCCAAACCTAAATGAGGAAAAGACTAAAGCACTAATTTCACCCAAACTCTGCTGTAATTGTGTGCACACAGTTTTCCTGTGCAACTCGTTTTCCGTCTGATCTCTGACAGAGGATCATTTGTTGCTTGTTTCCAGCCTGTCTGACTGCTCATGTTTCCTGATGAGTCCAGAGCTACGAGGCTACTGTTCCTTTAACTGAAAGAAACCTAAATCAGAGCTCAGTGTAGGATGGTGGTCCTAGAAGTTTATGACGTCTGTTGTCATGTAAAGTGGCTGCTTGTTTACAGATGTCCTTCTGAAAGAGACCTGCTGGGCACGTGGAGACAGTGCTGCTGCTGCTGCAGGCTAAATGTGTCTCTGATCAGCCTGGACTGTTCACTCACTTGGCCAGGAGTCTTTTTCTGCTTTTCCTTCCTGCCTTTTGATGATTGTTTTTTATTGAATCTCTCAATTAAATTAAGAACAAACCTGTGCTTTGGCTCTGGCTCTTTAGTGCTGACCTCTCACACCCTGCTGCCATCTCTGCTCCTCAGCTTGTCTGTTTTTTCCCCCCCTTCTCCTGGGAGGCTGTGTGGATGGGTTGTGTAGTGTTACTTTCGCAGCCAATTGTCTGTTATAATCTTCCCATCTGACTTCACCAGCAGGTTGCCAACAAAAGTGAGGATGCCTGCTGCGACGGCTAGACCTCTGCTTGAACACTACAGTGCACATGTTCATCATATAGCAGTGGTTGTGCTTGAGCTTTGGCAGCATGCGAGAGACTTGACATGGGTGTGCTGGTGCTGAATTTGAAGTCAGCTCATGCATCTGTTTCCTCTGGAATCTCTGTGTCACAGCTTTGACAACTTCATGACTGCTTTTAGCAGGAAGGACAGAGCTACTGATGAGAAGCTGTAGTAGCTTGTAGGCTAAAGTCACTTTAATAAGCAGCAGTCCCAAAGCCAAAGGTGTCCCGTTTAATATCGAAACAGCAAATATTCACATGGATTATAATCATTTTTGCAAATTAATTTTGGAAAAGCACTTTGAGTCATTTGAATGTCAAGATAGGTACAACATGGGGCAGTATTAGCTACATTTTGAAGCTTTGGAGCAACTTTTCTCCTAAAGCCAGTGAAATTGAGACACAACACCGATTTAGCACTGCGCTCCTGTAATTAATCAATCAAGCTATTGGAATAAAACATGTGGTACAGGGTCATGGAAGTGCTTCACAGATGACTCTGACATGATCGTTATAAGATGAAACGGTGATGACAATTTGATGCACATGAAAGAAAATAAAATGAAATTGATGTGAAATAACTGGGTTAAAATAAAGATACTTTAAAATAGTCAAAAATGAAGTTAAAGGGGCAGGTTTTGGAGTTTTTTTTTTAAACACTTTCAGCTGTTCTCAGTTCACAAGATTATCAGAAAATGATAGAAGTCATACGACACCACATAAAGCCAGGCTCAACACATCTGTATTTTGAAAATAACATTTTCTGCTTCTCTCAAATGCTCTGGAAAGTAGAAAGCATTTCTGATAGTCTGGTACAAGACCATGTAGTGCCTTAGAAACTACTGTTGACACAAAAGCAGGCCTGCAGTGTACAGGCAGGTGTAATATGAGCCTCCTCCTGATCCCAGGCTGCACTTGTGTGTGTCTTAATTTGGATTATTTGTAACTGATAATGTGCGATTATATTCTCTGGTCGGCCAAAAAGGAGAGCATTACAGTAGTCAAGCCTGCTACTGATAAGCACGTGTTGACCGGTGTGAGAAATTACTTCACTTTAGAAATTAAATGTTATTCAAATGCTACAGCTCTGTTTTTGTGACGCCTTGCACACGCGTTTTAAAATTACACTCTCCCAGTGTCTTTAGCTTTGAGCTAACGAGCAGTAGCCTGCTTCTGTTTTGTCTTAAAATGTGTGACATCTTGGCTTTTCTATCCAAAATACAGAAAGAGTGAATAAAATCATCATACTCACATTAGACGGTTTGAAAACGCAGCAGAACCAGAGATGATCTTTTTTTGTTCCTCACATTCTTGTCACAATCTTCTTCCTTGCCTACATTACCCACAGTTCAACTCAGTTTCTAACTGCACAGTAGGATGGATCAGCTCTAGAAGTTGAAGCTCTGACTGGGACTTTTCACTGCCTTTCCCCGCTTCACTCAGAAGCAGCTAGCTCTAATACTGTGGGAACCCAGTGCACCTTTAAAACACAACTGTCTATGCTTCATAAAATGCTTCTGCTACACTGATCACTTTGTCCACTGTCAACCTGAACTCATCTACATTTATAATAATATAACTAATTATAAATGGAAACCATGCATCCATATTCATATTGGCTGTTGGGGAAAAATACATTTTAATTTGGAAAGATCAAGTTAATTTGATTATGTAATTTGCAGACAGATGACAAAGTACAGGACAATCCAACATAATTGTCTCACTTAATTCTGAACTCTCCTGGAGGAACGAACACTGTTCTGTCAGCAGATGTTCCCTCATTTATTCAGGTTTTTCCTTTGATTTGTCACCAGGCTGTAACTACTTATTGTATATCAAATATAATGTGCAAATTAGGCACAAATAATGTGATAGATACACTTCTTTCGCAAATATTACTGTCATGTCAGGGTGTGATTTACATGTTACTTCTGATTCATAACATTTTTTCCTTTTCACTTTGTGGCTTTTATTCAAGTTCTTTTATGTCTCGTGAACTACTGAGTGTGCCTTAATGAAGAAAGAAGTTAATTTATTGAACTCATAATTGGATTGAATTGTACTCGAGTGGTGTGAATCATGTAAAACTGAAATTATGTTGGGGAGAATAAATCATCCTATCATTGTGGGAAAATGTACAATGATGTTGTCGGACCATTTGTTCCATATAATTATGGGTTCATGCAGCATTATGTCAAACGAAATGTTATCATTTAAGTGAAGGAAGTTGTTATTCACCACTAGAATAATTAGACTAGACTTCACAATATTTAATGGGTCAGTTTAAAGCTACAATAAATTAGTACACACCTATATAAACTAGAACTCCTAGCTTTGTGAGGACATTCATTAGCATAATGCATTCTCTAGCCCCTTAACCCTAAACCTAATTCTAACCTGAACCAAGTCTTAACCTTCAAAAAGGTGTGTCAAAGTGAAGGCCAGCTACAACATCCTCACTTTCCAAAAATGCCATCACTCTGTAGCAAAAACAAAACCTTTTGGTCCTCATTTTGTAGCAAGCACAAGACCACGCACACAAATGTTTCTGGGCCTGGACAGCTTGCCATGGTGGAGGGGAAATAAAGGTTTATGAAGGAATCCTACAGGATAATGTCAGGATGGTTGTCCATCAGCTGAAGCTCAGTAGAAGCTGGGTGAAGCAGCAGTGCGGTGACCCTAAAGAATAAAGTAAGTCTATTATAGAATGGCTTCAAAACAAGAAAATCTACTGTTTGGAGTGTCCCAGTCAGAAACCAACCCAGAAGAAAATCAGAATCAACTTTACTTGTCTACTTGTTGCTTTACAGAAGAACATTGAACATATGTACGTACACATTGAGAGCCACTGTACCAGAGACAAATTCCTTGTGTGTCCAACACACCTGTCCAGTGAAGCTGATTCTGATTCTGATTCCATTTTCCAGCAGTGCTCTGAATGATTAATGGGTGTGTTCAGTGAAGACATGAAAGATAACTAGATAGATAAATAGATAGATAGATAGATAGATAGATAGGTAATTACTTTATTTAGGCCTATCCGCATAAACCATTTAAAAGTAGATAAAATAGAAAAGAGGCGATGACAACTAAAATATGACTGAATAAAAACACTGAAATATAACCTGTGTATTAAAGATTGGCTTTAATTTTGAAGGATCTGACCGGAAGTCCTCTTTGTGTTTTGCTTGTTACGTACGCACGCACACAAACAAACACCGAGGGATTTGTAACGTCTGCAGCTCGAGTAACGACAAACATAATGAGGATATGAAGAAGTTGCTAACTTTCCGTGCCCTCATGTGACGGTGTGGCCCGTTCGGTTCGGTAAATAACCGTCGGTGTAATGTTTGTCCTCGCCGTTCGGCGGAGGGACCGTCCGTAAATGAACGCGTTGTTTGTGGCCTTTGAACAAAGAGCTTTTCTTCGCTCTACCATTGTTACCGAGCGGGGCGCCTGTTTGCTCACTGGCTCAGAGGTGGTTTCGGACCGTTAAAGTAAGCTAACTACTTTAGAAGTTTGTCTTTATTTAAAAAGTGACAGAAAGACGAGGTCTTTAATTCTGTATAGTTTACTCCATTCACATATACAGCGAGTAAATCTGTGTTGAGCGCTGGGGGGGATTGATTTGATACCGTTAGCCTAAGTTTAAGGGACTGAATGGATTTGGTGTCGATAACCTCATTTAGAATAAAATAATATTTGTACAGTTTAAAGGAACACAGGGAGACCGGGGCAGGCTTACTTTTAGTTAACTATCTACAAGTTACTGATTCTTTAAAGACAGCAGACTTGATAATAGGTTGTTTAGCTAACAGTCATAATGAATCAGTCGTTTCTACTTTAAAAATCAAAGCTTAATATGAGCTGGATGGGGTTTCAACAGCATTGTACACACAAGTCCATAAATATATACACAAGACAAAAATATCGCCTAGAGGAAACGACTGTCCTGCCTGGAGAGAGTGAATCCCGGAATCTGGCAACTCAACGTTGTCTTGCTTAAAGTAACGAAAAAGATAAATAGTAAAATCTGTCTAAAAACTGATTTTGACACAATAGGAGCCACTCCTTACACTCATTAAGCCTCCTCATGGACTTGAATCCCCTGTATACAACTAGAAAACTAGGAAAATGCAGTGCTGCTTTAGTGGACGTGTGTCATATGTACTACCAGGTGGTAGTACTACTGTGTGTGCTTTACCTGAAACGTTTTGTAGCATTAAACTGCCACATTCAAGTGACTTGAGCATGGTGTTCTTTGTGTATTTGAACAGCTGCTGTTCCAGGTCCACGTGGCCAGCGCTTGTTGAGTTTGCCATGCTGCTTGTGTTGACAGGTGAGGGGCGGCCTGTGCTCCAGTCATGACCTCTGGGAATGGGAACACTAACAGCAGCCAGCACAATGGAGAGAGCAAACCAGCCCAGGCCCTAGTCAAGTCCCACATCCTCACCCATCTGATTGAAGGCTTTGTTATCCAGGAGGGTGCTGAGCCGTTTCCTGTGAGTACTACAGCTCTGCATGGGTCTGACTGTAACGTCACTAATACACACACAGAAGGTGGTCATCATATGACAGGGACAGTAATCAAAGACTTGGGAGTTAGTGGCCCAACACTGGTCCTGCTCCACTTGTCATTAGAGATGGCAGTGTCCAATCTTCAAAACAGTTTTGATACGTTGGAAACAACCAGTGTTCTGAAATGTTTCACAGCACTGGTTATGCACAGCCTGCTGACAGATTCCTGAACAGCAACCTATAGTAGGAGCAGTAGAACAAAACATTGGTGCAGCGGTCACATGACTGATGTTTTGGAACAGCCTGGGAACCGCATGTCTTGATCAGCTTCAAATTGGCTCGATCCTCCGTGTTGAAATTACAGTCTCTACTTGTCTTTGTGAACATGCTCCAACTCCATCTCCTGCTGA